AAAAAAAAAATTGAGCATATGAAATATATGATATGAAGGCGGATTCTGTTTGAACCGTTAGAAATTCCCCACAACTGATTGCCAAAATGAAATCAGTGGCGTCGAATTGACCTTAGACCGAAATCTCAGTTCGATGTGAGAATTTTGATTTTTTTTTCTCATTTCGCGAAATCGTCAGAATTTGAGAATTTTTTCAAAACGCACCGATCTTCTTGAAATTTGTTCTACTCAGTAAGTCGAACCTCCTAAACAAGATTCAGGCTTCAGATTTGCTCTCTGAGGCCGCATTAATTTTTTGCGAGCTGACTTATGCCAACTTTAAGAAAAATTACGTCGTCCGATAAATTCGTTTCTTGCCACTAAACCACTTAAGTTGTTCTGCTGAAATTTTTTTTTCTGATTCACAAAAGTCTGAGGAATCGAACAGATTTCATTTCAACTGCTTAGCGTTAGTAGGTTTCGAGTTACAAATTTTTAAAATGAAAAAAAAAAATTTGGGCATATGAAACATATGATATGAAGGCGGATTCTGTTTGAACCGTTAGAAATTCCCAACAACTGATTGCTAAAATGAAATCAGTGGCGTCGAATTGACCTTAGATCGAAGTCTCAGTTCGATGTGAGAATTTTGATTTTTTTTCTCATTTCGCGAATCGTCAGATTTTGAGAATTTTTTCAAAACGCACCGATCTTCTTGAAATTTGCTCTACTCAGTAATTCGAACCTCCTGAACAAGACTCAGGTTTCAGATTTGCTCTCTGAGGCCACATTAATTTTTTGCGAGCTGACTTATGCCAACTTTAAGAAAAATTACATCGTCTGATAAATTCGTTTCTTGCCACTAAACCACTTAAGTCGTCCTGCTGAAGATTTTTTTTCTGATTCACAAAAGTCTGGGGAATCGAACAGATTTTATTTCAACTGCTTAGCGTCAGTGGGTTTCGAGTTACGAATTTTTAAAATGAAACAAAATTATTTGAGCATATGAAAAATATGATATGAAGGCGGATTTTGCGTGAACCGTTAGAAATTCCCAACAACTGATTGCCAAAATGAAATCAGTGGCGTCGAATTGACCTTAGACCGAAATCTCAGTTCGATGTGAGAATATTGATTTTCTTTCTCATTTCGCGAATCGTCAAATTTTGAGATTTTTTTCAAAACGCACCGATCTTCTTGAAATTTGCTCTACTCAGTAATTCGAACCTCCTGAATAAGACTCAGGCTTCATATTTGCTCTCTGAGGCCGCAATATTTTTTTGCGAGCGGACTTATGCCAACTTTAAGAAAAATTACATCGTCCGATAAATTCGTTTCTTATCACTAAATCACTTAAGTTGTCCTGCTGAAGATTTTTTTTCTGATTCACAAAAGTCTGGGGAATCGAACAGGTTCTATTTCAACTACTTAGCGTCAGTGGGTTTCGAGTTACGAATTTTTAAAATGAAAAAAAAATATTTGAGCATATGAAAAATATGATATGAAGGCGGATTCTGCTTGAACCGTTAGAAATTCCCAACAACTGATTGCCAAAATGAAATCAGTGGCGTCGAATTGACCTTAGACCGAAATTTCAGTTCGATGTGAGAATATTGATTTTCTTTCTCATTTCGCGAATCGTCAAATTTTGAGATTTTTTTCAAAACGCACCGATCTTCTTGAAATTTGCTCTACTCAGTAATTCGAACCTCCTGAATAAGACTCAGGCTTCATATTTGCTCTCTGAGGCCGCAATATTTTTTTGCGAGCGGACTTATGCCAACTTTAAGAAAAATTACATCGTCCGATAAATTCGTTTCTTATCACTAAATCACTTAAGTTGTCCTGCTGAAGATTTTTTTTCTGATTCACAAAAGTCTGGGGAATCGAACAGGTTCTATTTCAACTACTTAGCGTCAGTGGGTTTCGAGTTACGAATTTTTAAAATGAAAAAAAAATATTTGAGCATATGAAAAATATGATATGAAGGCGGATTCTGCTTGAACCGTTAGAAATTCCCAACAACTGATTGCCAAAATGAAATCAGTGGCGTCGAATTGGCCTTAGACCGAAATCTCAGTTCGATGTGAGAATTTTTATTTTTTTTCTCATTTCGCGAATCGTCAGATTTTAAGAATTTTTTCAAAACGCATCGATCTTCTTGAAATTTGCTCTACTCAGTAATTCGAACCTCCTGAACAAGACTCAGGTTTCAGATTTGCTCTCTGAGGCCACATTAATTTTTTGCGAGCTGACTTATGCCAACTTTAAGAAAAATTACATCGTCTGATAAATTCGTTTCTTGCCACTAAACCACTTAAGTCGTCCTGCTGAAGATTTTTTTTCTGATTCACAAAAGTCTGGGGAATCGAACAGATTTTATTTCAACTGCTTAGCGTCAGTGGGTTTCGAGTTACGAATTTTTAAAATGAAACAAAATTATTTGAGCATATGAAAAATATGATATGAAGGCGGATTTTGCGTGAACCGTTAGAAATTCCCAACAACTGATTGCCAAAATGAAATCAGTGGCGTCGAATTGACCTTAGACCGAAATCTCAGTTCGATGTGAGAATATTGATTTTCTTTCTCATTTCGCGAATCGTCAAATTTTGAGATTTTTTTCAAAACGCACCGATCTTCTTGAAATTTGCTCTACTCAGTAATTCGAACCTCCTGAATAAGACTCAGGCTTCATATTTGCTCTCTGAGGCCGCAATATTTTTTTGCGAGCGGACTTATGCCAACTTTAAGAAAAATTACATCGTCCGATAAATTCGTTTCTTATCACTAAATCACTTAAGTTGTCCTGCTGAAGATTTTTTTTCTGATTCACAAAAGTCTGGGGAATCGAACAGGTTCTATTTCAACTACTTAGCGTCAGTGGGTTTCGAGTTACGAATTTTTAAAATGAAAAAAAAATATTTGAGCATATGAAAAATATGATATGAAGGCGGATTCTGCTTGAACCGTTAGAAATTCCCAACAACTGATTGCCAAAATGAAATCAGTGGCGTCGAATTGACCTTAGACCGAAATCTCAGTTCGATGTGAGAATATTGATTTTCTTTCTCATTTCGCGAATCGTCAAATTTTGAGATTTTTTTCAAAACGCACCGATCTTCTTGAAATTTGCTCTACTCAGTAATTCGAACCTCCTGAATAAGACTCAGGCTTCATATTTGCTCTCTGAGGCCGCAATATTTTTTTGCGAGCGGACTTATGCCAACTTTAAGAAAAATTACATCATCCGACAAATTCGTTTCTTGCCACTAAATCACTTAAGTTGTCCTGCTGAAGTTTTTTTTTCTGATTCACCAAAGTCTGAGGAATCGAACAGATTTTATTTCAAGTACTTAGCGTCAGCGGGTTTCGAGTTACGAATTTTTAAAATGAAAAAAAAATATTTGAGCATTGAAAAATATGAAATGAAGGCGGATTCTGCTTGAACCGTTACAAATTCCCAACAACTGATTGCCAAAATGAAATCAGTAGCGTCGAATTGTCCTTAGACCAAAATCTCAGTTCGATGTAAGAATTTTGATTTGTTTCTCATTTCGCGAATCGCCAGATTTTGAGAATTTTTTCAGGATACACCGAACTTCTTGAAATTTACTCTACTCAGTAACTCGAACCTCCTGAACCAAAATCGGGCTTCAGATTTGTTCTTTGAGACCACAATGATTTTTTATGAGCTGACCTAGGCCAACAATAAGAAAAATTACATAGTCCGATAAATTCCTTTCTTGGGAGTAGATCACTTAGGCCGTCCTACTGGCGATTTTTTTTCTGGTTTAGAAAAGTCTGAGCAATCGCACAGATTTTATTTCAGCTACGTAGCGTCAGTAGTTCCTGAGTTATGAATTTTCAAAGTGGAAAACAAATTTTGAGAATACGAAAAATATGAAACGAAGGTGGATTTTTCTTGAACCGTTAGAAATTCTCAACAACTGATTGCCAAATTTAATTCAGCAGCATCGAGTTGACCTTAGACCAAAATCTCAGCTCGATGTGAGAATTTTAATTTTTGCACTAATTTTCTTGAAATTTTTTACTTGGTAATTCCTAGTCCAACTTTAAAAAAATGGCATCGTCTAAATTTGCTTTGACAATGTTCAAAAAAAGTTGTGATCTTTCATAGATGTAAGAAAAACATAAAAAAAATTTGGTCTATAAAACACTCACTATATTAAACTATTAATCTGTTTAGTAACTCACAAGGCGAACCAATTCTTAGAGTTGGTCACTGCCTAATTTCAGGTGATAACAAAGAATTATAAATAAAGGATTTGCACGAAAGATATATGATGACGACATTTTTAACAAATTGAAGCATCGTATCATCATTAGAGAGCGGATTTCTGTCGGGCTAGACAAGGCCAAACTCGGTACGGCTCGTACGGGATGGGAATTTATTGCAGTTACCGGCTGCACTTCGTTTATTTGAGATTAGAATAACGCTGCTTCGTTGCACTCTGCTGTTAATTCCAGTTCTCATTTACTTAGCCGTTTGATTAATAAATCGTTATTTGTATTTATGGAATCAAGTGAGAATTAAATTCAGTGATTACCTATCACCCGCTACTGAGTCCCGGCGATGCAGCGCGTCCCCACCTATATCGTGACGTAGCCCGACAGAAATCCGCTGTCTAATCATCATATAGAAATTAGAAGTACTTTCTGCGTATTTAAAAATAAAAATTACCACAATTCTAAATTTAAATAAATTACAAAACAGATCTTAAATAAACAGGAAAATGCTCAAGTGAAAAAGTGACTAATTAATTAGAGAAAACAATAAATCGTCCACCATAAATTCGGATAACATTTCTAAATACTGTCATGCACCTGTGTGAGAACGCGTATTTAAACTTCCCTATTTATCTCAAATGCACTATAAAACTGTACAAACCATCACAATTTATGATTCACGGAGTGTTAACTATGAGATCATAAATACTAAGAGGAGTTGCAAAATAAGATAAGCTAAAAGGTAAAACCTTAAATAAAAAGAGCGAATTCGTTTGTTTCAGTAGCTGTCACATTAGTATCGCAGCGGGTGCCTGTTCTTCATTTTTTTTATTAGTCGCAGTTTCGACCCCAAATTTTTTCCTGGTTTATTTTGTCGTAGAACATGGTTACCAAATTCGATAAATTCGCTCTATTAATGTGGAAAAACTGGATTCAGCTGAAACGACGTCCGTTCCACACAACGTTCGAAATCGTCTGTCCAGTGTTGATATGTTTGATACTAGTTGGTGTAAGAAATGTCATCGACACTGAGAAAATGGACCGTTCACACTTTCCACGATTTGTTACGGGCGATCACAACACCACTCTTTGTAAATCGTAAGTAATTTTCGTATTAATTTCCAAAATGATTTAGTTCGAGTAATTTAAATTTCCTGCTTGTTAATTTTTTCACGTGTTATATAATGTGCAGATTTTGTATGCTTATAGACTTAACCATGTTGTCTTATCTAACGTCAATTCCTTTTGTGATTTGGGGGTCACATTCGACAAACACTAGACCAACAATTTGATGAAATGCGACTTAAATTAAATAAAATAACACACTCCTGTAGCTGTGGTTTATGAATCCGCTTTGATTGTTTACCCGTGGCATCCCCATTTTCGCAATTTTTTTTTCATAATCCACCAACCAGTGGCTAATCTCCCACGTTGGAACTTGGCCCACCTGTTTATAATACAGCGTAAATATTTGTGCATTACCTAACAAACATCCATTTGAGGATTACACTACAATTTTTTTAATTTGTTTAAAGATTATAAAGTTATTATGCTTTGTTACTTGAATGTTTTCATCTCGTTAGCTTTATCTCGATTTTTTTTTTTCGTAGAAAAAAGTATGACCACAACGATAACACATTTTTCAACTTTATTATGTCCTTTGTATTTTCCTTATTTACAGAGACATGAATGTAGCATTTTCTCCCACTGACCCATTTCTGAAGACAATTGTCAATACGGTTGTCACTAACATGTGCAACACTTCTCCAAAGTTACTAGAATTTAAAAACAAAGCCCAACTCAACACCGAAATTGATACGAACCAATTCGTCAATTACACACTCGTGGTACAGTTCAACGACGATTTCACACAACAGCGCTTATCAAACATTGATATCACGTTTAGGTAAATTACACATTGATAACATTATAGAACACACTTGACACCATTGTGTAGATTACCTTCGGTCGAACGACACGAAAAAAGACAATGGTTTACGAATGTGCTATACCCGGTTTACCCTCGTGCGGGACCAAGACTCGACTCGAACGCCATCTATGGTGGAGAGCCAGGTAAATCTAGTTTTGGTTTTGAAGTCACTAATGAATTATTGTCACCTATCAAACAGCGTATCTCCAACGTGGATTTCTATACTTACAAGAACAAATCACTCTTGAACTGTTAAAAAATGCAGTTGAACATTCGGAGCTGCAGATTTTTTTGCTACGATTTCCTCACCCAGAATGGACTGAAGATCTGTTTTTTGCCGGCGAAATGGAGATTATGGTGGCGGTTATAACCATGTGCACTTTCATCTATAGCTACATCACGACGATTCGAAGCATAACGCTTGAAAAAGAAAAACAGCTAAAGGTACTACGAGTGTTTGGTGGGAAAGCGTAAACATTTTAGTGTTTCAGGAATGCATGAAAATCATGGGTTTGCCTGGGTGGTTGCACTGGGTGGCTTGGTTCCTCCGCAACTTCACGATTTTGCTAATATCAACTCTCCTAATGGTTTTTCTGTTGACAGTAAACGTACACAAAGTACCAGTGTTTACCCACACTGACAAGAGTGTCTTACTTTGTTTGTTTATTCTTTTCGCGTGTAGTACAATTACGTTTGCTTTCTTCCTTAGTGTTTTTTTCACTAAAGGTGAGATCATTTTTATTGTTATGACTATTACAAGAGATGATTGTTTTTAGCAAATACTGCTGCTGCTGCCGGAGGTCTTATTTTTTGTTTTTCGTTTCTACCATATATACTGCTAGAACAGTACCAGGAGAGTTCTTTTGTGGCTGCAATGACGTCAAGTTTGTTTACTAATTCTGCGGTGTGTTTTGGAGTATCGATGATTTTCAAGTTTGAAGCCATTGGAGGCGGTAAGAAAATTTCTGTCAGTTCTTTGATGATAAAGTTAAATGGTGTTAATGAAAATGCATAGGGCTTAAAAAAATATGGATGCTATAATTTTTTTTTCAACATTTTTAAATTTCAGCTGCTCTCTGTACATAGTTGAAAGAGTTTAAGGACAAATCTGAAAAGCTTCGGAGGCTTTTGGTGTTTAGTTTTTGGAAGAATAAAAAAAAATTTTGGGAATGCATTGAAAACGTTTGAAAAAATTTCTGAGACTTGTATCTGTTTTATTCTTTTTCTTTAATTTGCGAGAATCTGGAGTCTCTATGCGTACGAATTCAATTGAAAGAATCTGGGAAACCCCTACTGTTTCTTTTATAAACTTCAAAGATCCTGAGATCCTGGGGCCTATTCTGATCTTGGAAGAATTTGAAAGAATTTTGGAGGTTCCTGGTGTTTTGGTATAGAATGTATAGGAATCTAGCAGTGTTTTGTTTTAGGATGAAGCTACAAAAATTTTGGGAATGCCTGGTATTTTATTGTGGAAATTGTTTAAAATAATCTTGGGGTCCGACGTGATTTTTTCTTTTTTTGAAAGAATTTGAAAGATTTATGGGGCCAAATTTATTGTTTTAAATATCACACAGCTCAATTCAAAAGAGCCTGTTTTTTCGTCCTTTTCGTCCTTTTCTTCCTTCGTCCTTTTCGTCCTTCGTCCTTTTCGTCCTTCGTATTTTTTGTCCTTTTCGTCCTTCGTCCTTTTCTTCCTTCGTCCTTCGTTCTTTTTGTCCTTCGTCCTTTTCTTCCTTCGTCCTTTTTCTCCTTCGTTCTTTTCGTCCATTTCGTTTTTCGTCCTTTTCGTGCTTCGTCCATATCGTCCTTTTCGCCTTTTCATCCTTATCGTCCTTTTCGACCTTCGTCCTTCCCATCCTTCGTCCTTTTCGTCCTTCGTCCTTTTCGTTCTTCGTCATTTTCGTCTGTGTCTTCTTTAGTACTTTTCGTCCTTCGTCCTTTTCGTCCTTCGCCCTTTTTGTCCTTCGTCCTTTCCGTCCTTTTCATCCTTCGTCCTTTTCGTACTTTTCCTCCTTAACCTACTTTTCGTCCTTCGTCCTTTTTGTCCTTCGTCCTATTCGTCCTTCGTTCTCTTCGTCCTTTTCTTCCTTCGTCCTTTTCGTCCTTAGTCCTTTTCGTCTTTCGTCCTTTCCGTCCTTTTCGTCCTTCGTATTTTTTGTCCTTTTCGTCCTTCGTATTTTTTGTCCTTTTCGTCCTTCGTCCTTTTCTTCCTTCGTCTTTCGTTCTTTTTGTCCTTCGGCCCTTTCCTCCTTCGTCCCTTTTCTCCTTCGTTCTTTTCGTCCATTTCGTCCTTCGTCCTTTTCGTTCTTAGTCATTTTAGTCTGTGTCTTCCTTAGTACATTTCGTCGTTCGTCCTTTTCATCCTTCGCCTTTTTCGTCCTTCGCCCTTTTCGTCCTTCGTCCTTTCCGTCCTTTTCGTCCTTTCCGTCCTTTTCGTCCCTTTCATCCTTAACGTCCTTCTCGTCTTTCGTCCTTTTCGTCCTTTGTCCTTTTCATCCTTCGTCCTTTTCGTACTTTTCCTTCTTAACGTCCTTTTCGTCCTTCGTTCTCTTCGTCCTTCGTCCTTTTTGTCCTTTTCGTCCATCGTCCTTTTCTTCCTTCGTCCTTTTCGTCCTTTTCGTCTTTTTCGTTTGTCGTCCTTTTCGTGCTTCGTCCTTTTCGTCCTTCGTACTTTTCGTCCTTCGTCCTTTTCGTCCTTCATCCTTTTCGTCCTTCGTCTTTTTCGTTCATCATCCTCTTCTTCCTTCGTCCTTTGTCTTTTTCGTCTTTTCGTCCATTTCGTCCTTCGTCCTTTTCGTCCTTCGTCCTTCGTCCTTTTCGTCCTTCGTCCTTTTCGTCCTTCGTCCTTTTCGTCCCTCATCATTTTCGTCCTTTTCTTCCTTCGTCCTTCCTGGTATTTTATTCCTAAAAGATTTAAAAAAAAACTCTGGGTACATATTTTGGAAATTTTTTTTAAAATGTTAGGGGTCTCGGTCTTTTATTTTTTCAAAGAATCTTGAGACCTTTTGGGAACTTCTGGTATTTTCCTTAAATAATTTGAAAGAATCTCAAGGGTTTCAGGTGTATTTTTTTTTTTTGAAGAATTTGAAAAAATATTACAATTCTTGGTGCTGTATTTTTGAAAGAAATTTTTCTATTTTTAAAGGATCACATAGCTGTTCCATAACACTCAAGAGATTGCTTGTTTTTTTTAATTTGTCCTTTTCGTCCTTCGTCTTTTTCGTCTTTCGTCATTTTCGTCCTTTTCGTTCTTCGTCCTTTTCGTCCATTTCGTCTTTCGTCTTTTTCGCCCCTCGTCCTTTTCGTCCTTCGTCCTTTTCTTCCTTTGTCCTTTTCGTCCTTCGTACTTTTTGTCTTTCGTCATTTTCGTCATTTTCGTCTTTCGTCCTTTTCGTGCTTCTTCCTTTTCGCCCTTTTCTTCCTTCTCGTCCTTTTGGTCCTTCTTTTTGGTCCTTTTCCTCCTTCATCTTTGGTCCCTTTCGCCTTTCGTCTTTTGCGTCCTTTTCGTCCTTCGTCTTTTTCGTCCTTTGCCCTATTCGTTGTTTGGTCTTTTCGTAATTTTCTTCCTTCTTCCTTCTCCTCCTTCGTCCTTTTCGTCCTTCGTCCTTTTCGTCTTTCGTCATTTTCGTCCTTTTCGTCCTTCGTCATTTTCTTCCTTCGTCCTTTTCGTCCTTTTCTTGCTTCATCCTTTCGTCCTTCGTCCTTTTCCTCCATTTCGTCCTTCGTTCTTTTCGTCCTTCGTCCTTTTTATCCTTTTCTTCCTTCGTCCTTCGTCGTTTTCGCCTTTCGTCCTTTGCGTCCTTTTCGTCCTTTGTCATTTTCGTTCTTCGTCATTTTCGTCTGTGTCTTCCTTGGTACTTTTCGTCGTTCGTCCTTTTCATCCTTCGTCCTTTTCGTCCTTCGTCCTTTCCGTCCTCTTCGTCCTTCATCCTTTTCTTCCTTCGTCCTTTTCGTCCTTTTCTTCCTTCATCCTCTCGTCCTTCGTCCTTTTCGTCCATTTCGTCCTTCGTCCTTTTCGTCCTTCGTCCTTCGTCCTTTTCGTCCTTCGTCATTTTCTTCCTTCGTCCTTTTCGTCCTTTTCTTGCTTCATCCTTTCGTCCTTCGTCCTTTTCCTCCATTTCGTCCTTCGTTCTTTTCGTCCTTCGTCCTTTTTATCCTTTTCTTCCTTCGTCCTTCGTCGTTTTCGCCTTTCGTCCTTTGCGTCCTTTTCGTCCTTTGTCATTTTCGTTCTTCGTCATTTTCGTCTGTGTCTTCCTTGGTACTTTTCGTCGTTCGTCCTTTTCATCCTTCGTCCTTTTCGTCCTTCGTCCTTTCCGTCCTCTTCGTCCTTCATCCTTTTCGTCCTTCATCCTTTTCTTCCTTCGTCCTTTTCGTCCTTTTCTTCCTTCATCCTCTCGTCCTTCGTCCTTTTCGTCCATTTCGTCCTTCGTCCTTTTCGTCCTTCGTCCTTCGTCCTTTTCGTCCTTCGTCCTTTTCGTCCTTCATCCTTTTCGTCCTTTTCTTCCTTCTTCCTTCCTGGTATTTTATTCCTAAAAAATTTCAAAAAAACTCTGGGTACATATTTTGGAAAAATTTTTCTAAATGTTAGGGGTCTCGGTCTTTTATTTTTTTAAAGAATCTTGAGACCTTTTGGGAACTTCTGATATTTTCCTTAAATAATAATTTGAAAGAATCTCAAGGGTTTCAGGTGTTTTTTTTTTTGAAGAATTTGAAAAAATATTACAATTCTTGGTGCTGTATTTTTTAAAGAAATGTTTCTATTTTTAAAGGATCACATAGCTGTTTTTTTTTTAATTTGAAAGGTTCTTGGGGGCTATTGTTTTGTTTTTGAAAGGATTTGAAAAAATCTTGGAGATTCCTGCTATTTTGAATATGACAGAATTAAAAAAAAAAATTGAAGAATTCTGGTGTTCCATTTTTGAAAAATTGCAAAAAGTCGGAGGTGTCTGGTGTTTTTTTACGTGTGAAAAGCTCGGAGATTCCTGGTGTTTATTTTTTGTAAAGAATTTGAAAAATCTTCTTGTTCCGTATGGTTTGATTTTCCAAGAATTTAAAAGAATCTAGGGGCCTTTTTTATGGATGTGAAAGTATCTTGGGGACTCCTGATATTTTGGTTTTGAAAAAATTTGAAACAATCTCGGACGTTTCTGTTGTTTTGTTTTTGAAAGAATTTAGAAGAATTTTGGGAACTTCTCGTATTTCATTTCTGGTATTTTATCTTTGAAAAAATGTGAAAGAATCTCAGAGATCTCATTTTTCTATTGGAGCATTTGAAAGAAATTTAAAGGTTTTTGATATTTTATTTTTGAAAGACAATTAACTTTGCTTTTAAAAGAATCTCGAGAAATTAATAATTTGTAATTTTATTAATGCAAGATGATATAGTTCAATTTACTGGTTGAAAGAATCTCTAAGGCCCCTGAACTTTTGTTTTTGGAAACCTCCTAAAAAAATTGGGGAACCCTTGGAGTTTTTTGGAAAAATTTGAAAAAAATTTGAAAAACTGCTGGTATTTTATTTTTTAAATAATTTGAAAGAATCTCAAGGGTTTCGGGTGTTTTCTTTAAGAATTTGAAAGAATATTAGAATCTATTGTTGAAAAAAATTTTAAAAATCTGTGAGATAAGATTTTTCTATTTTTTAAAGATCATATAGCTCGTTCAAAAAAATAATCAAGAGATCCCCTGTTTTTTTTTTTTAATTTGAAAGGATCTTGGGGGCCTTCGGTATTGTTTTTGTTTTGGTTCCTTTGGGTTTTATTTTGCAAGAATTTCAAAAATCTGGGAACCCTCGGTGTCGGTTTTTGGGGGCTCTTGTTACCCAAGTTTTGAAATTTTTTTTAATAAGGGACCTTTAATGTTTTACTTTTGAAAGAATCTCTGCGGTCAACTTACAGTTCAATTTACTGGCTGAAAGAATCTAGTGTTTTTTTAGATCTTGGGTCCCCTATTTTTGGTTTTAAAAGATATGGAAGTACCTTCTTCTGAATTTAAAAGAACCTGTGGAAGCAATTTGTGTCCCGATTTAAAAGGCTAAAGGAATTTAGAAGGCTTCTGGTTCTTTTTTCAATATAAATTTAATATTTTTGAAAAAAAATGTAGAATCTCGAGAGACTTTAATGTTTTATTTTGGAGATTCTGGTAATTTCGTTTTGAATGATTTTTTTAAAGAATTTCGGAAACTTGTTTGTATTTTGTTTTTTGGGCCGCAAAAAACATATTCTAAGAAAATCTATGCATAATTTTTGATTTTTGACTACACAAAGCCCGCTTTTTAGAAATTACAAAATTTTCAATGGACACCACTATGTAAATTTTCTACAAATCTGGTTTTAATACTAGGCATTCATTGGAACACCCTTTGGTCTGCCATATCCCCAGACAACGACTTAACCCTCGGTGCCATCTTCATGATGCTCCTCTTCGACACATTCTTCTACCTAATCCTCGCCCTATACATCGAAGCAATATGTCCCGGAGACTTCGGAGTTCCAGAACACTGGTACTTCCCACTTACTTACTCCTACTGGTACAACAAAACCCTAGACACAAGTAAGCCACAACGAGACCACTTTATAACCTCCTTAGTACTTCTTTGAACTTCAGCCAACCAACCACCCACCAAAACCGAAGGCGACTACTTCGAAGAATTCACCGACAAGCTACCAATAGGAATCCAACTCCGAAACCTCTCAAAAACCTACGGTAGCACCGAAGCCGTCAAAAACCTAAACCTGGACATGTACGAAGGCCACATCACCATACTACTGGGCCACAACGGAGCCGGCAAAACCACCACGATGTCCATGATCACCGGTATGTTTCCACCCAGCAGCGGCACGGTTCTGGTAAACGGGTTCGACGTACGCACGAACACGGAGAACGTTCGTGATAGTATGGGTTTGTGTCTACAACACAACGTTCTCTTCGACAATTTAACAGTTTACGAACACTTGTTTTTCTTTGGGAAACTAAAAGGTCTGCCGTGTGACGAAATCAACCAAGAAATCGACGACTACATTAGGTTGCTGGAACTAGAAGAGAAAGTACTGAGTTTTATTGTTAGCTAGAATAACATGGTACTGATGTTGTAATTTTCAGCGACATTCGTGCGCCAGTTCGTTGTCTGGTGGCATGAAACGAAAATTGAATGTTGGAATTGCCATGTGTGGCAAATCTAAAGTGGTCATTCTAGACGAACCTACATCTGGTATGGATGTGACAGCAAGGAGGGCTGTTTGGAACCTTCTCCAGAAGCAAAAAAAGGGACGAACGGTACTTCTAACCACCCACTTTATGGACGAAGCCGATTTGCTGGGAGACAGAGTCGCTATCATGGTTGATGGTAAATTGCAGTGTTGTGGTTCCAGTTTTTTTCTAAAACGGAAGTACGACACTGGGTACTACTTGACCATGGAAGTTAATTCTTGGTGTCGAGTAGGAGACGTCACAGAAGTGTTGCGAAAGCACATACCACAATCAGAAGTGTGTTCCTATGTGGGTTCTGAGCTCAGTTATCAATTATCAGAAAGCGAAACTTGTAGGTTTGAAAATATGCTGAATGATTTAGACACGAAAACTAAACAACTGGGAATTGAAAGCTATGGCATCTCACTGGCCACTTTAGAGGAAGTTTTCATGAAGTAAGTCGCTCGAATTGTTAAAAGTTAATAAATTATCATTTGTAGAGCTGGTGACAAGTTTTCCAACATGAATAAATTGAAAGACAGCGAAAAGAGTAAAGGATTTTTTAAACTCTAGTGTATAAAATTTATTGATAAGATAATTCCAGTTACGATTCAGCCGTATCCGGCGAAAACTCTGGACTATTTGACCGGATTTTCGCTTCTGAAGAATCAGTTTCAGGCGATGTTGTACAAAAAAGCGCTTGTGATTTCACGGTCATGGCACTTGTTACTAATGCAAGTAACTTTACCCGCTATACTGATAATAATTACAGTTTTAGTAGGGCGGAGGAATGTCCCTCTTAGCAAATTTCCTTCCCTAAAACTGTCCCTAGATTCTTATGATAAACCGACAGTTCTGATAGAAGCTCCTGACGAAAATAAATATTATCAAATATATCAGGATATGTTACGAGGATATCAATTAACAAAAGTGCCGAACATAGAAGATACGGTTTATAATCTAGTAAGTAGAACGATTATATTTTCCAAAATATTGTTTTTTTTTTCATAGACAATAAAGTCACCACCTACTGTCAGACTAAAATATATCACGGCGGCTTCTTTCAAAGACAATACGGTTACGGCTTGGTTTAATGGTGACCCTTATCATTCAGCACCATTAACACTAACCCTGATTCTAAACACCCTCTACAAGAAACATCTAGGCCAAAACGCGACAATAAATTTCTTCAACCATCCTCTTCCACTCAATATTGAAGCACAGGTTTAAGCTCCACTAACCAGAAATCAGCTCACCAAAAGTACAATTTTAGATTGATAATTTACTCTTCAATATAATGGGTTTCCAAATTGCCATAGTACTCGGAAATGGAATGGCTTTGGTGGCCAGTTTCTACATACTTTTTTACATCAAAGAGCGCGTGACCAAAATAAAACATTTGCAATTTATGGCTGGCATGAACCGATTCGTATTTTGGCTCACTTGCTTCCTCTGCGATTTGGTTACGTACTCCATTACGGTTTGCGCTGTGTTGGTGACGTTTCTGGCGCTTCAGGAAGACGGATATAAAGAGGAAGACGAAATAGGTATAAATGTTGTTGTTGTCCAGTGAGCCAGAACCCCCATCACATATGATGGGGGTTCTGGTTCACTTTGACCTCACTTGACCTCGCCTAGAACCAGCACCAACTTTCTCGATGGTTACGTGCTCGCTCAAGGCCACTTTGACCTCAGCGATCTAGTAGTATACCCATTCTAACCCACTTTGATCTCAGCTGATCTGGCCTAGAATCGGTCTAATCTAGGGAAAGAGTGATCCCGATTCTAGATCAGGTTAAGTGAGTTTAGAGTGACCAAAACCTCCATCAGATAGCTACAATACCATCTGTACTCGTTTACTGCGAAATTCTGCGAAATTACACATATGATGGGGGTTCTAGCTCACTTTGACCTCACTTGACCTCGCCTAGAACCAGAACCACATTTTTCGATGGTTACGTGCTCGTTCAAGGCCACTTTGACCTCAGTGATCGAGTAGTATGCCGATTCTAACCAATTTTGGTCTCAGCTGATCTGGCCTAGAATTGGTCTAATCTAGGGAACAAGTGATGCCGATTCTAGATCAAGCCAACTTAGTTTGGAGTGACCAAAACCTCCATCAGATAGTTACAATACCATCTGTACCCGTTTACTGGGAAATTACACATATGGTGGGGGTGCTAGCTCACTTTGACCTCACTTGACCTCGCCTAGAACTAGCACCACATTTCTCCATAGTTAGGTGCTCGCTCAAGGCCACTTTGACCTCAGTGATCTGGTAGTAGTTACATGATGCCCATTCTAACCCTCTTTGATCTCAGCTAATCTGGCCTAGAATCGGTCTAATCGAGGGAAAAAGTGATGCCGATTCTAGATCAAGCCAACTGAGTTTAGAGTGACCAAAACCTCCATCAGATAGCTACAACACCATCTGTACTCGTTTACTGCGAAATTACACATATGATGGGGGTTCTGGATCACTTTGACCTCACTGGACCTCGCCTAGAACCAGCACCACATTTCTCGATGGTTAGGCGCTCGCTCAAGGCCACTTTGACCCCAGTAATCTGGTAGTAGTTAAATGATGCCCATTCTAACCCACTTTGATCTCAGCTGATCTGGCCTAGAATTGGTCTAATCTGAAAAAGTGATGCCGTTTCTAGACCAGGCCAACTGAGTTTAGAGTGACCAAAACCTCCACCAGATAGCTACAATACCATCTGTACCCGTTTACTGGGAAATTACACATATGATGGGGGTTCTGGCTCACTTTGACCTCACTTGACCTCGCCTAGAACCAGCACCACATTTCTCGATGGTTAGGCGCTCGCTCAAGGCCACTTTGACCTCAGTGATCTGGTAGTAGTTAAATGATGCCCATTCTAACCCACTTTGATCTCAGCTGATCTGGCCTAGAATTGGTCTAATCTAGGGAAAAAGTGATGCCGATTCTAGACCAGGCCAACTGAGTTTAGAGTGACCAAAACCTGAATCAGATGACTACAATACCATATGGGAAATTACACATTCTAGGTCGTATAGCGGTGTTATTGGTTTATTTCGGCTTCAGCATCCTACCTTTTACGTATTTAGCGTCCCATTGGTTCACCGCTCCTTCCACTGGATTCTCTATGACCATGGTTTTAGGAGCAGTTGCAGGTACGACCCCCTATAGACAAATTCTATGTATTCTATCTACATTCACACAGCGGTTGTCGGACTGACCACCATGCAGGTGCTAGAAATAGACCCTCTAGGTCTATCAGAAATCGCAGAAAGTGTCAACTGGATCCTACTCTTCGTCCCGTTCTACTCCATAGCGAAAGGCGCCTACGACGTCGGACTAATCTACTACCTCAAAGAACTGTGCACAGCAAGCGACGACTTCTGCGCCCGACACCCCAAATGTTGCAGTATGACACTCGAACAGATCTAGATTTATAACCGACGATTGTTTGTAGATGACAACGACTACTACTCTATGACAACGCCTGGAATCGGCCGCAACATAATCATATCATTTTCGATCTACATCGTCCTTTGTGTCATACTTCTATGTACCGAATTCTACAACTTCAGCTGGACTAAACACCAAGCACCAAACCGAGAAGTCCATGTAGACAGCGACGTCCAAGAAGAAATCAACAAAATCAGAAACACCCCGAACGCCATTTTGAATAACAACTACACTCTATTTCTGCGGGATGTCACCAAGTACTATCAGAATTTTCTAGCGGTGAATGGGGTTTGCTTGGGGGTAAAACCATACGAGTGTTTTGGTTTATTAGGGGTCAACGGTGCTGGGAAAACCACCACGTTTAAGATGATGGTTGGAGACGAAAGTATCTCATGGGGGGATGTATGGATCAACGGGTTGAATATCCAAACGCAACAGAAGAAAACTCAGAGGTTGATTGGGTATTGTCCTCAGTTTGACGCTCTTCTAGGGAATTTAACCGCTCGAGAAACCCTACAGATGTTTGCGTTGATTCGTGGAGTGCCAGCGGGGAGTTGTAACTCTTTGGGGGAACATCTAGCCGAAGAACTCGACTTTCTGAAGTACTTAGACAAGAAAATTAAAGAGCTTAGTGGTGGTAATAAAAGAAAACTTAGTACCGCTGTTGCTTTGGTTGGTGATCCGCCTATTCTGTTTCTGGATGAACCCACCACTGGAATGGATCCTGCTACGAAGCGCTTGGTCTGGAATGTTCTTTCTAGATTGAGAAATAGCGGAAAGTGTATTGTTTTGACTTCGCATAGCATGGAAGAGTGTGAAGCTTTGTGTACTAGATTGGCTATCATGGTCAACGGAAATTTCAAGTGTGTTGGGTCGCCTCAACGACTTAAAAATAAATTCGCTCAAGGGTTTGCGCTAACTATTAAAATGAAAAAGGGTGACTTGAAGAATGACCTTACTGATATTGATAGTTTTATCAGGCTGAATTTTCCTGGGGCGGAATTGAAAGAGAGGTATCAAGAATTGTTGTCTTATCATCTGGTGAACAATTTTATGTCATGGTCACAAATGTTCGGAATTTTGGAAAGGAGTAAGAAAGACTTGAATATTGAAGACTATTCTTTGGGACAATGCAGTCTGGAGCAGGTACATCTAAATATAATTGTTGTTTTAAATACAGAGGGTTTGATTTTCAGGTGTTCTTGAGCTTCACGAAACATCAAAAGTAAAATTTGCCAGGTTTAGACGTTTTCTTTTTACATTAATAAGACAAATAAATTTGTTGCAATGAATTTTATTATTTAGACAGAACTTCCCTCGCCTATCGCGAAACAAAATATTCTAAGCAATACAAAACTATGCACATTGATATTTAAATAATTAAAACTGCAAAACTGTTAACCCAGAAACATATCTGAATTAAATTTGCTAATTATGCAAAATTATTCACTCTTCCGCAATTCTTTCACAAAAGGCGGTCTTTACAGATAATTCGGCGCATTTACTGGAACAATGTGCGATAAATTTATTTTATTATCTATCAATAAATATCGTCTAATCTTGATAGCTTAATCGCAACTAAAAGTCAGTAAGTACCTGAATAAATGATAAGTCATCATTACGCGCTAGCTGATATCGAGTAGAGCAACCAACCCACAAAAAATTAACTACAATTGTAGATAAATTAATGAGGTAGACCTGAACAGTTGGAAATAGAGTATCCACTTCAGTTATTGACGAACTTCAAGCACGAGCTTTTCTGCTGTGCGGTCGTTAACGCCTGCGTTTCAGTCTGAACTATTTTCAGAATATAACCTAGAAATTGATTCGATGTTTCAGCGATAGTGCAATTTTTGTGCGAATCGGTGAAGTGGCCTTAGTTGTTAATGACTCCTGGGTAAGCTAACTCGGTGTTGGATTGACGTGTTTGTGGCCATCTGGTGCAGTGTGGCCTTGCCCTTGCACTATTTATCGTCACACATCAATATACACTTCCTACACACGCTCTGTTGACAAATTTGATTAAAATTTTACCGAAAAAATTATCAGCACGTTTTAGTGATCAATATTCACTGAATATTAACAAGAAGTTTCTAAGAAGCGGTAGAACAGCTCAGCGTTTTCGCGGAAAGTGGACGATCAATTCTGATCATTTCTTAGATCGATCGATGAAGGTGCGAGAAATTAATTGGTGTCATTGAAATATTTTTTTTTTTTCGTAAATTATTATTAACCCAATAAAAATATTTCGTTGTATGGTTTTCACACACGTACATAACTATAATGAGAGCAATTTTTTCATTATAGACACTAAAAAAACGTCCTTAAAAATGATTCTCCACAGCTTACTAAAATTCACAAAATTGTCGCTGGAAAGGTCACTTTATCAGTTTGAACAATGAGTTGTTGGTACCTGCGTACATGGCATGTCCCAACAAAATTTAAATTGAGCGTAAAACGTGCTTTACATTGCAAATAAGTTCTCTGTACTCGTAATGACTTCCATATTTCTAATTATAATCGGTTACTAAATTATGTATTATTAAAAGTGTTTGTGACAGTTGTCTAGATAAGAATGTTCGTGACAACAGGTGAGTTCGATCCAGTTAAGGATAATCGATTTCGAGATTTTTTTTATTATAAATATAGTACCTATAATTAAAATAAAAATCAGCACAATCGAGCGGATTATTCGATGCACAAACAATATTATCACATGTTCCAGTTGTGACTTATCAATTAAATCCGATTTAAATATAAGTACTTCATTGCTAAATTTAGAACACGAGGCTTGATCATCTGAATTAATTATCGTGCGAGTACGAAGATAACGAAGTTGGGTTCCTGTGTCCTTTTAAAACTGAAATCAAAATTCTCGAGTGTCAAAACATTGTGCAAAATATTTTCGCTGACTAAGTGACTATAAATGTTTATCTTTTTGGATATAAATTTTATCAGAAATTGCGTTCGTCGGCTTTTGTTGTAATAACATAACTTAGTTAATTTTTGCAATAATGAAAAAAAAAAAACTAATAAAGTAGTTATTACCGGTCTTATCGGTGAAACATCGCTGACAAAAGCTTTTAATTTTTTTTTAAATATGTTTACTTTCAAGCTATTCTAAATATTTTATGTGAAATTACATGTAAATGACACAATAAACGTCCTTTTGACGGAAGATTAAATTTCAGTGCAAGACAAAAACACTTATAATAGGTTATAATCGTTATCACGAGATAAGACACTAAGAATATTTGGGTTTAGTTTACAATGATTATCACTTTTTCTGTATCATAGTTTAGATAATCAGTGGTGCTATTGTGACTATCATCTATTACGGTGCGGAATTCTAGCCGAGCGCAATTATATAGGCGAATGTTAATAAATAAGTAAGTAAAGTTTTTCGTTTTCTTTTACCCCCGTTCACTTGATCGAATTCTGCAAAAAAATTTTTTTAAGTTTCGTTTTCTCATAAATTTTCTTCGTAAAATTTGATTGAGGTTATATCTCTTTTCATAAAATACTCGGTTTGTCTTACGTCATGAAAGTTTAACTAGGTCTATGTCGACTAAGTATACAGTAGTTCCTGATGTTTGTTTCGATTTCTCGATGTCTCAGTTTTTGAATTTTTCTAGGTTTCAATTTTTCGGTTTTTCCATTTTTCGACTTTTCGGCGTTCTGATTTTCCAATTTTTCTATGTTCCGATTCTCCAATTTTTCATCATTTAAGTTTTGGAATTTTTCAGTTTCTCGGTTTTTCTCTTTTTAGATTCTTTTCCGGTTTCTCAATTTTTATTTTTTTTTAAATTTGGATTTTCAATTTTTTCATGTTTCAATTTTACGATTTATCAATTTTTAAAGTTTCTTTTGAGTTTTTAAATTTTTCAATTTTTCAGTTTTTCGATTGTCAATTACTCGATTTTTCGATTTACCTTTTTTTAATTTTATTTTTGAATTTTTCAATGATTCGATCTTTCGATGTATCGATTTCTCGATTTTTAATTTTTCCATTCTACAGTTTTTCGATATTTCTAAATTTTAGATTTTTCGATTTCTCAATTTTTGGAAATTTCTATTTCTCGGTTTTTCAATTTTGGATTTCTCAATTTTTCGATATTTCAATTTTGGATTTTTTTCAGTTTTTGTTCTTTAGTTTTTCCATTTTCCATATTCTCGATCTTCTCGATTCTTCAAATTTCCAATTTCCCAATTTTTCATTTGGATTCTTCAATTATTATTATCCGCTGTTCAATTTTATGATTTTCCAATTTTTCGATATTTCAATTTCTTACGATCCTACGATTTTCCAACTTCTCGCTTTTGGATTTCAATTTTTCAATATTTTAATTTTGCAGTTTCTTAAATTTTAGATTTTTCGATTTCTCAATTTTTGGAATTTTTGTTTTTTCGATATTTTTAATTGGATTTTTCGATTTACGTTTTCTGTTGTTCGATTCTCCAATTTTCCGATGATTCACTTTTACGATTTTTCAATTTTTCGGTGTTTCAAATTGTTGATTTTTCAATTTCTCGAAATTTTGATTTTTCACTTTTTAAAATTGTAGATTTCTCATTTTTCGAGTTCTTAAATTTTCGATTTTGCGATCTTTCAATTTCATTTTGGGTTTTTATGTTTTTCAATTTTTGATTTTTCGATTTACTTTTTTTTAATTTAAAATTTTTGAATTTTTCATTTTATCGATTTCTCGATATTTCTCCTTTGATGTTTCAATTTCTCGATGTTCAATTTTTTTAATTGTTCGATATTCCGATTTTCCCATTTTCCAATTTTTCGATGGCTCAATTTTTTGATTTTTCAATTTTTCGAAATTTTGATTTTTCACTTTATAAAATTTTAGATCTCTCAATTTTCGAGTTTTTAAATTTGCGATTTTTCGGTCTTTTGAAGTTTCGATTTCTCGATCTCCCGATTTTTCGACTTCTCGCTTTTAGATTTTTCAGTTTTTCAATTTTTCGATTTTTAAAGTTTCATTTTGGGTTTTTAAATTTTTCAATGTTTCAGTTTTCCCATTGTTCAATTTCTCGATTTTTCGATTTACTTTTTTTTAATTTTAAATTTTTGAATTTTTCAATTTATCGATTTCTGAATGATTCTCTTTTGATGTTTCGAATTCTTTGTTTCATTTTTGAATTTTTCGATTTGATTTTACAATTTTTCAATTTTTCGGTTTCCTAGTTTTTCATAATTTCAATTTTGGGAATTTTCTGTTTTTCGATTCTTCGATTTTCCGATGTTTCAATTTTAGGATTTTTCAATTTTTCGATGTTTCAAATTCTTGTTTTTTCAATTTTTCAAAATTTTGATTTTTTATTTATCAACATTTTAGTTTTCGAATTTTGAGAGTTTTTAAATTTTCGATATTTCGATTTTAAAGTTTGGTTATGGGTTTTTGAATTTTTCAATTTTTCAGTTTTTCGTTTGTTCAATTTCTCGATTTTTCGATATATTTTAAAATTTTTTAATTTTTTAGTTTATCGATTTCTCGATGTTTAATTTTTTCAATTTTTCGATTTTCCAATTTTTCAATTTTTCGGTTTTCAAGTTTTTCGTCATTTCAATTTTAGGATTTTTCTGTTTTCGATTCTTTAATTTTCCGATGTTTTCATTTTACGATTTTTCAATTTTTCGATGTTTCAATTTCTTGATTTTTCAATTTTTCGAAATTTTGAATTTTCACTTATCAAAATTTTAGATTTCTCATTTTTCGAGTTTTTCAATTTTCGATTTTTCAGTCTTTCGAAGTTTCGATTGCTTGATCTCCCGATTTTCCGATTTTTTTTGGCTTTTAGATCTTTCCGTTTTTCAATTTCTCGATTTTTCGATTTACTTTTTTTTCTATTTTAAATTTTTCAGTTTTTCAATTTATCGATTTCTCGATGTTTCTCCTTTGATGTTTCGATTTCTCGATGTTTAATTTTTTAATGTTTCAATTTTCCAATTTTTCAATTTTTCGGTTTTCCAGGTTTTCGTCATTTCAGTTTTGGGATTTTTCTGTTTTTCGATTCTTCAGTTTTCCAATGATTCAATTTTACGATTTTTCAATTTTTCAGTGTTTCAATTTCTTGATTTTTCAATGAAATTTAAAATTTAAAATTTTAGATTTCTCATTTTTCTAGTTTTTCAATTTTCGATTTTTCGATATTTACAGTTTCATTTTGGGTTATTAAATTTTTCAATTTTTCAGTTTTCCTATTGTTCAATTTTCCTATTTTTCGATTAATTTTTTTTTTTATTATAATTTTTGAATTTTTCTGTTTATCGATTTCTCAATGTTTCATTTTTTCGATTTTCGAATTTTCAATTTTTCGGTTTCTCAGTTTTCCGTCATTTCAGTTTTTGGATTTTTCTGTTTTTCGATTCTTCACTTTTCCAATTCTTTAAATGTTGGATTTTCGATTCCTCGGATTCCTCGGTTTTTCGATTTTTCGATTTTTCAATTTTAGATTGCTGAATTTTTGTCTTCGGTTTTCTATTATTCAATTTTTCGAAATTTTGATTTTTCACTTCTTAAAAATTTAGATTTTCCAATTTTCGAGTTTTTAAATTTTTGATTTTCCGACATTTCGCTTTTACATTTTTCGATCTTTCAATTCCTCGATTTTTCAATGAAATTTAAAATTTAAAATTTTAGATTTTTCATTTTTCGATTTTTACAGTTTCATTTTGGGTTTTTAAATGTTTCAGTTTTTCAGTTTTCTCGATTTTTCGATTTACTTTTTTTTAATTTTAAATTCTTAAATTTTTCAGTTCATCGATTTCTCGATGTTTCCCTTTTTATGCTCGATTTCCCGATGTTTAATTTTTTGATATTCCAATTTTTACATTTTTCAATTTTTCGGTTTCCCAGTTTTTCGTCATTTCAGTTTTGGAATTTTTCTGTTTTTCGCTTCTTCAATTTTCTAATGATTCAATTTTACGATTTTTCAATTTTTCGATGTTTCAATTTCTCGATTATTCAATTTTTCGAAATTTTGATTTTTCACTTTAGAAAATTTTAGTTTTCGCATTTTTCGAGTTTTTAAATTTTCGATTTTTCGATTTTTAAAGTTTGGTTTTGGGTTTTTAGATTTTTCAATTTTTCAGTTTTCGATGTTTCACTTTTTGAATTTTTCGATTTCCAATTTTGCAATTTTTCGGTTTCCCAATTTTTCGTCATTTCAGTTTTAGGACTTTTCTGTTTTTCGATTCTTCAATTTCCCGATTCTTTAAATGTTGGATTTTTCGATTTCTCCGATTTCTCGAAATTTTGATTTTTCAATTTTTAAAATTTTAGGTTTCCCAATTATCGAGTTTTTAAATTTTCGTTTTCTCGATCTTCCGATTTTCCGACATTTCGCTTTTAGATTTTTCGATGTTTCAATTTCTTGATTTTTCAATGAAAGTTAAAATTTAAAATTGTAGATTTCTCATTTTTCGAGTTTTTCAATTTTCGATTTTTCGATTTTAACAGTTTCATTTTGGGTTTTTAAATGTTTCAATTTTTCAGTTTTCCGATTATTCAATTTCCCTGTTTGTCGATTTTTTTATTATAATTTTTGAATTTTTTAGTTTATCGATTTCTCGATGTTTCAATTTTTGAATTTTTCGATTTTTCAATTCTTCAATTTTCCAATTTTTTAAATGTTGGAGTTCCGATTTCTCCGATTTCTCGGTTTTTCTATTTTGCAACTTTTCGATTTTTAAATTTTAGATTTCTGAATATTTTTCTTCGGTTTTTCCATTATTCAATATTTCGAAATTTTGGTTTTTCAATTTTTAAAATTTTAGATTTCTCAATTTTCGGGTTTTAAGCGAGAAGTTTCGATTTCTCGATCTTCCGACTTCTCGCTTTTAGACTTTTCGGTTTTTTAATTTTTCGATTTACCTTTTTTCAGTTTTAAATTTTTCAATTTATCAATTTCTCGATGTTTCTCTTTTGATGTTTCGATTCCTCTATGTTTCATTTTTTGAATTTTTCGTTTTTTCGATTTTCCAATTTCTCGTTTTCGCAGTTTTTCCTTACTTCAGTTTAGGGATTTTTCTGTGTTTCAATCTTCAATTTTCCGAGTTTTTTTTCGATTTTTAAATTTTAGATTTCTGAATTTTTTTCTTCGCTTTTTCCATTATTCAATATTTCGAAATTTTGGTTTTTCAATTTTTAAAATTTTAGATTTCTCAATTTTCGGGTTTTTAAGTTTGCGATTTTCACGGTTTTGAAATTTCGATTTCTCGATCTTCCGACTTCTCGCTTTTAGATTTTTCGGTTTTTTAATTTTCCGATTTAACTTTTTTTTAATTTCAAATTTTTCAATTTATCGATTTCTCGATGTTTCTCTTTTGATGTTTCGATTCCTCTATGTTTCATTTTTTGAATTTTTCGTTTTTTCGATTTTCCAATTTCTCGTTTTCGCAGTTTTTCCTTATTTCAGTTTAGGGATTTTTCTGTGTTTCGATCTTTAATTTTCCGAGTTTTTTTTCGATTTTTAAATTTTAGATTTCTGAATTTTTTTCTTCGGTTTTTCCATTATTCAATATTTCGAAATTTTGGTTTTTCAATTTTTAAAATTTTAGATTTCTCAATTTTCGGGTTTTTAAGTTTGCGATTTTCACGGTTTTGAAATTTGGATTTCTCGATCTTCCGACTTCTCGCTTTTAGATTTTTCGGTTTTTTAATTTTCCGATTTAACTTTTTTTTAATTTCAAATTTTTCAATTTATCGATTTCTCGATGTTTCTCTTTTGATGTTTCGATTCCTCTATGTTTCATTTTTTGAATTTTTCGTCTTTTCGATTTTCCAATTTCTCGTTTTCGCAGTTTTTCCTTATTTCAGTTTAGGGATTTTTCTGTGTTTCAATCTTCAATTTTCCGAGTTTTTTTTCGATTTTTAAATTTTAGATTTCTGAATTTTTTTCTTCGGTTTTTCCATTATTCAATATTTCGAAATTTTGGTTTTTCAATTTTTAAAATTTTAGATTTCTCAATTTTCGGGTTTTTAAGTTTGCGATTTTCACGGTTTTGAAATTTCGATTTCTCGATCTTCCGACTTCTCGCTTTTAGATTTTTTTTTTTAATTTTCCGATTTAACTTTTTTATAATTTCAAATTTTTCAATTTATCGATTTCTCGATGTTTCTCTTTTGATGTTTCGATTCCTCTATGTTTCATTTTTTGAATTTTTCGTTTTTCGATTTTCCAATTTCTCGTTTTCGCAGTTTTTCCTTATTTCAGTTTAAGGATTTTTCTGTGTTTCGATCTTCAATTTCCCGAGTTTTTTTTCGATTTTTAAATTTTAGATTTCTGAATTTTTTTCTTCGGTTTTTCCATTATTCAATATTTCGAAATTTTGGTTTTTCAATTTTTAAAATTTTAGATTTCTCAATTTCCGGTTTTTTAAGTTTGCGATTTTCACGGTTTTGAAATTTCGGTTTCTCGATCTTCCGACTTCTCGCTTTTAGATTTTTTTTTAATTTTCCGATTTAACTTTCTTTTAATTTCAAATTTTTCAATTTATCGATTTCTCGATGTTTCTCTTTTGATGTTTCGATTCCTCTATGTTTCATTTTTTGAATTTTTCGTTTTTCGATTTTCCAATTTCTCGTTTTCGCAGTTTTTCCTCATTTCAGTTTAAGGATTTTTCTGTGTTTCGATCTTCAATTTCCCGAGTTTTTTTTCGATTTTAAATATTTTAGATTTCTGAATTTTTTTCTTTGGTTTTTCCATTATTCAATATTTCGAAATTTTAATTTTTCAATTTTTAAAATTTTATAATTCTCAATTTTCGGGTTGTTAAGTTTGCGATTTTTCACTCTTTTGAAGTTTCGATTTCTCGATCTTCCGACTTCTCGCTTTTAGATTTTTCGGTTTTTTAATTTTTCGATTTACCTTTTTTCGGTTTTGAATTTTTCAATTTATCGATTTCGCGATGTTTTTCTTTTGATGTTCCGATTCCTCGATGTTTCACTTTTTGAATTTTTCGATTTTTCGATTTTCCAATTTCTCGTTTTCGCAGTTTTTCCTTATTTCAATTTAGGGATTTTTCTGTGTTTCGATCTTCAATTTTCCGAGTTTTTTTCGATTTTTAAATTTCAGATTTTTGAATTTTTTTCTTCGGTTTTTCCATTATTCAATATTCCCAAATTTTGATTTTTCAATTTTTAAAATTTTAGAATTCTCAATTTTCGAGTTTTTAAGTTTGCGATTTTTCACTCTTTTGAAGTTTCGATTTCTCGATCTTCCGACTTCTCGCTTTTAGATTTTTCGGTTTTTTAATTTTTCGATTTACCTTTTTTTAATTTTAAATTTTTCAATTTATCGATTTTCCAATTTCTCGTTTTCGCAGTTTTTCCTTATTTCAGTTTAGGGATTTTTCTGTGTTTCGATCTTCAATTTTCCGAGTTTTTTTTCGATTTTTAAATTTTAGATTTTTGAATTTTTTCTTCGGTTTTTCCATTATTCAATATTTCCAAATTTTGATTTTTCAATTTTTAAAATTTTAGATTTCTCAATTTTCGGGTTTTTAAGTTTGCGATTTTTCACTCTTTTGAAGTTTCGATTTCTCGATCTTCCGATTTTCCGACTTCTCGCTTTTAGATTTTTCGGTTTTTTAATTTTTCGATTTACCTTTTTTTTAATTTAAAATTTTTCAGTTTGTCGATTTCTCGATGTTTCATTTTTTGAATTTTTCGATTTTCCAATTTCTCGTTTTCGCAGTTTTTCCTTATTTCAGTTTAGGGATTTTTCTGTTTTTCGATCTTCAATTTTCCGAGTTTTTTTCGATTTTTAAATTTTACACTTTATTTTTTTTTTTTTGGTTTTTGGATATTTCGATTTCTCGATTTTTACATTATTCAATTATTTTTCAAAGAAAAATGAACAGCCAGTATTTAATTGAGATTTATGTAAAGGGATAATTAGTGCCAATATTCCCCTTAAAAAAAAGCGAAAAAGTACGTAAACACACTTGTTTATATTTGGTCTGGAGTCCGTTTGTCTCAAGGAAACGACAAACCGATTAATAATTCCTTAAAAAATATGAAGGCAATGATAAAGGGCAAAGTTATGCCTATACTTCTATCAAGTTTTCCCATTTGGAAAATGTTCCGATCAACATTATTTCAGCAAGGACACTTATGTCAATTTGGACAGGTGCAATGTACTGCTAATAATAAAACATTATAATATATGTAGCTGTTTATAAATCTGACACGGTGATTTAATATTAATCCATCAACAAAATAAATTTTTATGATAAATAATAACAATAGTAATCATTATTATTGTGTGTAGTTCTCTCATATGCAACACTTTATTAACATACTTACTTATTTTAATGCGTTATATTGGTTATCTATGCTTTATCTTATCTTAAGAAACGCCCGGAAGCATACAACAAATCGGAAATACCCATACCAATATTCCCATCATAATTACAGCAAGCCTACATTAACCAAGTAATAATTCGCAGTACCGACAGCTCACGTCTACCACTCGCTTTTTAACCTTAAGTAAGCTGAGTTACATAAAACGTAACAGTGTAGTGTAGACCCCGATAGTGAAACAACTATGACGCATACAACTTAGTTTCCACTCTCTTGTACACGATACAAACGACATCATAATGCAAAAGCCGTCGACATCAAGAGAACATTGTTTGTACTCGCTAATCGGACATGAGAGAATCGACACTGCGGACAACAATGGCCCTTACGCAAATTTTCGCGGTAAGTTTGTGGCTTAGGACCGCAAGTTACAGTGTTATGAGTTATAAACTACGTATAATAATGCCGACAGCAAGGTCAGCGTCCGTTTACACGATCCATAATAAAAGACGCGCATGAGTAGGTTCGAATTATAGAAGAATGAAAATTTAGATAATTAAGATAAGGCTGCTATTAATTTAAAGTCATTGGGTAACCCGGGTTTTGAGACTGCCGCCGATTTATATCAGTGGTCGTAACAAGTAACCTTTTTAAGGCTGAAATTATAATACATATCAAATTAACTTGTATGCTATGAAAATTTGACGAGTTGAGGACGTTTTTCGTTGGTAAATCGACGTTAAAATTACAAATGTAAACATGCGGTGATAAACGTTAGAAAAACGTCACTCGTTCCGGTTGACGAATTTGTGAATAATGCGAATAGTACATAGTTGGATTCTCTCAATAATTTCGTAAAACACGAATTGTTCTTTGTATTATTTCGTAAGATCGTCGAGAACTTTGGACAGATTGTTTTATAAGATTTATTGTTTTGCAATATTAACTGATTCATTCCAAATTACATATTTTTAAGTTGACAATACTTGTCAGTGTCACCGATAACGTGAACAAACTTGTCTCCAAAATGATTTTTTTGACACAACTAAACCCAACTGTAACCAGACGTCATTTCTGTTGCCACTTTATTGAACCATGATTATCAACCCATTTTTTTCGTCTAGCAACCATGGGAAACCATATGGAGAAGTTCCTTCTCCTCATGTGGAAAAACTGGCTCCTCCAATACCGCAAACCGATCCAAACCGTAGTCGAAATCATAGCCCCGGTTCTCTTTTCCATACTCCTGGTCATTATACGAGGCCTCGTTGACCCTGAGAAAAACCCAGACAAAACCTACGAACCCTTTTGTCTGCTGCCCTTCTACTGTCCCATCAGTAGCAACGGATCCTCACCCGACCCAAATTTCAACATGACTGGTCTACAAAACATCTCTTTGGTGTATTCGCCGGCTACCAACACCGCTTTGAGGCGCTCCATGGGTATATTACAAGAGGTCTTCGGGAACATAATCGGGTACAACAACTCCGAGCAACTGGAAGCCCATTTCGTCACCACCAACGCCACTCTGACGTTCGCGGGTATCCAATTTGCCGACTCGCTCGCAAACAAGCAGGTGCTTCCTGACAACCTGGAGGTGTCCATTAGGTAACCCATTGGGTAATCACAAACCAAAATTCAGTGACGGGTTTCAGGTTTCCCAGCGAGCTGAGGAGCTTCACCGATCTCTTTGGTCAGAATAACTGGCACACTAATATTTTGTACCCGGTGTACCAAGTACCCGGACCTCGGGCGCCCGAAAACAACACCGGAGCCATGCCAGGTAGGTTTGTGTCTTAGAGAGTGTTTGTCCTTCGTACGAAATTTTAATAATGCCACCACTAGCTTGGAAGCTACGTAATGTATTTGTAAGAAAAACATGGAAAACAAATGTATTGTATCCGATTTATCAGACTCCGGGACCTAGATCTGCGAGATCTAAAACCGGTGGTATGCCAGGTAGGCTTGCGTAGAACTCGTGAAAACTAACAGACTAACGACTTGTTTAAACCCATAACATGCATGTTGCTGTTGTGTTTTTGTGTGATGACCCGACTACAGAAAGTGACTCTTGTAGGGTATTTTAGCGAAGGATTTTTAACGCTGCAGTTGGTTATGACTTACGTGCTGGCGATCAGTGGGTACTCGGAAGACGTGACTAATTTGGACGCAGTCAGAGACAAATTATTGAGTGTGCTCCCACCGATGATCCAGATGAAACGATTTCCGTATGCCAGTTGGATCGAGGACCCGTTACTACAAGCCCTGGAGAGCTTTGTAGGGATCCTGATCATGTTGAGCTTCGTCTATACTTGCATCAACACAGTTAAAGTGATTACAGCCGAAAAAGAAAAACAACTGAAGGTGAGTCCACTGGTTGTTAAACCTAACCCAACAATCCGATTTCAGGAAGCTATGAAAATCATGGGTTTACCAAACTGGTTGCACTGGACGGCGTGGTTCATCAAGACTTTCGTTTTTCTTCTAATTTCGATCGTTTTGATTATCTTGTTGCTGAAGATTTCGTGGAACCCGAATACGGATTATAGCGTTTTTACCTATTCCGACCCCACGGTTATGTTGGTGTTCATGATTTTGTACATGTGTGCTACGATTACGTTCTGTTTCGCCATTAGTGTGTTCTTTTCGAAAGCCAACACCGCTGCTACTGTTGCCGGTTTGCTATGGTTTCTGTCGTACGCTCCGTACCTCTTCCTGCAGCAACAGTACGACAGGTTGACTCTTTCAACCAAACTTTTAGCAAGTGTCGGGTCGAACACGGCCATGGCGTATGGGTTTCAGTTGATGTTGATGTATGAAGGCACCAGTGAAGGTAACAACTCAATTTAAGTACGTCGTGTGTGTTGAAGTACTTTTTCAGGCATCCAGTGGTCGAACATCGCACGACCCATCACCCCCGATGACAGTTTAACTCTTGGTCACATAATGATGATGATGATCATCGACACCTTCATCTACCTCATTATCGCGTTGTACGTAGAAGCCATTTTACCAGGCGACTATGGAGTTCCGCAACCTTGGTACTTCCCTTTCACTACCTCGTACTGGTGTGGACGCCCTCGCTACATCGGAGTCGAAGACTTTGCCAGTATCCCTACCAACGAAGGTGAATTTTTCGAAAAGGACCCATCCAACCTCTCCCCTGGTATTCAAATCCGAAACCTACGAAAAACGTTTGGTACTAAAGCGGCTGTGCGCAACCTCTCTCTAAACATGTACAACGACCAGATCACCGTCTTGTTGGGTCACAATGGTGCCGGGAAAACCACCACCATGTCTATGCTCACTGGGATGTTTCCTCCGACGAGTGGTACCGCGGTCATCAGCGGTCACGACATCACCACAGACATGGACGGAGTGAGAGCCAGTTTAGGTCTGTGTCCACAACACAACATCATCTTCGACGAGCTCACCGTCAAAGAGCACTTGTACTTCTTCAGTAAACTGAAAGGACTGAAAAAGGAAGCCATCAAGGAAGAAATTGACAAGTACGTGGAGCTGTTGGAACTACAACCAAAGGCGAACGCCAAATCGTCGACGTTGTCTGGGGGGATGAAGCGGAAGTTGTGTGTGGGGATGGCGTTGTGTGGGAATTCGAAGGTCGTGATGCTGGACGAACCCACAGCTGGGATGGACCCATCAGCTAGGAGAGCCCTGTGGGATTTGTTACAGAAGCAGAAACAAGGGAGGACGATGTTGTTGACGACGCACTTTATGGACGAAGCTGATCTTTTGGGTGACAGGATTGCCATAATGGCCGGTGGGGAGTTGCAATGTTGTGGGTCGAGTTTCTTCCTGAAGAAGAAGTACGGCGCTGGGTACCATCTCATCATGGATAAGTCTCCAGCGTGTCAGGCTGACAAGGTTACGCAAGTTTTGCAGAAACACATTCCTAACATACACGTACGTAGATCTAGATTGTCGTGGTCACTAATAACAATTCTGATCGTAGATCCATGGTAATGTGGGTTCCGAACTCACGTATTTACTGGCTGAAAACCAGTCGTCCGTTTTTGAGGAAATGTTGCAGGATTTGGAGCAACAAAGCGACAAGTTGGGTATTCGCAGCTACGGCATTTCATTGACAACGTTAGAAGAGGTCTTCATGAAGTAAGTTGTTTATCACCCGAGATTGTTACACTGACGCACTAAATTTTAGAGTAGGGGCAGATTTAGGTCAAGAAGAAAACTACAACGGAACTCATTCGGAGGATGAACCTTGCGAAAAACGGTTCTGGCAGAGGATTAAATCCAAGTTCAAATTGTTTGAAAATGTCGAAGCCAGCTCGGAGAATCAAGAAACTAAGTGTAATAACTCCACCCAATCCATGCTGAATTCTAATCTTGGAAATTTCAGTGACCATAGAAAACATCGTACTTCTAACAGGCTCCCAACTAATCAAAAACCAGTTTTTGGCAATGTTAATGAAAAAAACTTTGTCTGTGATTCGTACCTATGTTCTACAGTTCATTCAAATACTAATGCCAGTGGCTTTCCTCGTGGTGGCCATCATCGTCAGCAGAAATTCTAACCGACCAGGGGACTTACCAAGTCTTCCTATAACCTTAGATTCGTACGACAAACCCGTTACTCTAGTCGAAGAATTGGTAAGCAGCAAGTACTCGCAAATGTACTTAAACACACTGAAGGGATATGAGGTTCAAAAAGTCGACAATATCACCTCAACGATGCTACGCTTGGTACGTCAAAAGGACCCCAAAGGTCAAAATTGACTCTTTTTTTCAGACGGAAACAATCCCTGCAACGGTTAGAATGAGGTACATAGTTGGGGCTACGTTCGATTCTGCGTACGCAGGGTTCATTACAGTGATTACAGCATGGTTCAACAATAATCCATACCATTCCCCACCTTTGGCTCTAGGTCTTGTCCTAAACTTAATTTTTAAAGAAGTAGTAGGAAATCAGGGTAGCATCAGCTTTGTGAATAATCCCCTACCATACACAGCTGAATCAAAAGTACCTGGTTCACACTGAAGAAAAACAAATTCACGTTGTTGATATTTTAGGTACAACAGTTACTCCAAGGTAACAGTATGGGTTTCCAATTAGCGTTCAATATCGGGTTCAGCATGGCTTTCGTTTCTTCCTTCTATGTACTATTCTACGTAAAAGAACGTGTTTGCAAGTCAAAACATCTACAATTTGTATCCGGTGTCAAAGTTTACATTTTTTGGATAATGTCATTCTTGTGTGACCTCGTCACGTTCATTGTCACCATAATAGCAGTAATCATCACCCTAGTCTGTTTCCAAGAAGACGGCTTCAGATCTGCAAACGATTTAGGTACTTAGTCACTCTCCCAAAATTTTTCTAACTAAATAGTAACGTTTTAGCACGAATCTTCCTTCTTCTGTTTTATTTTGGCTGCTCGATGCTCCCTATGATGTACGTGTCATCCTACTTCTTCAACGTCCCTTCGACCGGCTACACCAGAATGACCCTCTTTAGTGTCTTCACAGGTACTTTGACCCAATTAAAGAGTCACCAATTAAAACGATTCTTTCAGGCGTTGCGGCTTTCCTAGTGGTGCAAGTTTTATCAACACCTGGGTTAGATTTGGAGTACGTTGCAGACACCCTCCATTGGATTTTCCTGGTGGTACCTCACTACTCCCTCGCTACAGGAATCCGGGACACTTTCACTACCTTCGCAACTAACAAAATGTGCAAATTCGTGGTACAAACCTGTGTCGAAAACATGCCTGGGATGACCGAAAATGCGTGTTGGAGCATGGCGTGCCACAATAACCAGACTGAAGCCCTCAAAGACTATTGTTGTGGTAAGAAAGTACTTTCACAAGATTAGCTTCCGGTACTAACGACATTTTCAGTACGCCAACCCGACTACTTCAAATGGGAAACCCCCGGAATAGGTCGCAACCTCACCTACTCGTTCCTCTTCGGTTTAATTCTCTTTGTGGCCATCATTCTCACCGACTATAAGCTCTTCTCGAAAATCACCGACAAAATCGTGGAAACGTACGACAACAAGGGTCCGGAAGAAGTACCAAACGAAGACACTGACGTCAAAGAAGAAAAACACATGATTCAAAGTACTTCGGAAAGGCAGCTGCAAAAAGACTACATTCTGGTCTTGAAGGACTTGACCAAGTACTACAACAAACTTTTGGCTGTGAATGGGCTGTGTTTAGGGGTGAAGCAGTTCGAATGCTTCGGGTTACTAGGGGTCAACGGTGCTGGGAAAACCACAACTTTCAAAATGATGACTGGGGATGTTAAAATCACGTACGGGGAGGCTTGGGTTAAAGGTTACAGTATCAAATCGCGGATTAAAGACGTGCAGAAACTGATAGGGTACTGCCCGCAGTTCGATGCTCTTCTTGACGATTTGACGGCGAAGGAGTCGTTGACGATGTTTGCGTTACTAAGAGGGGTACCAATGGACGATTGCAAGTACCTTGCTGATAAGTTGGCCCGAGATTTTGATTTTCAGCGACACTTGAATAAGAAAGTGAAGGAGTTGAGTGGTGGGAATAAGCGGAAGTTGAGTACTTCGATTTCGCTGATTGGCGATCCGCCTGTGATTTATTTGGACGAACCGACGACTGGGATGGATCCTGCGACGAAGCGGTACTTGTGGGATGCGCTCTGTAAAGTCCGGGATAACGGGAAGTGTGTGGTACTCACCTCGCATAGCATGGAAGAGTGTGAGGCTTTATGTACAAGACTAGCCATCATGGTGAATGGCAACTTTAAATGTTTAGGGTCGACGCAGCATTTAAAGAATAAATTCGCTGAAGGGTATACGTTAACTATTAAAATAAAGAAGTCTCCAGATAGTGTCGAACCTCACGCAGACACTACACAAATAGAAGATTTTGTAGCGCGGAATTTCCCGAAAGCGAAGCAGAGGGAGAAGCATCAGGAACTACTAACGTACTATATAGTAGATACGAGCATCCCGTGGTCTAGGATGTTTGGAATTTTAGAAAAAGGCAAAAAACAGTTAAATATAGAAGATTACTCTCTAGGACAATCAAGTTTAGAACAGGTACGTTTCAGAGGTGTTTGCTGGCAGGTGTAAAGTTGTGTGTTTCAGGTTTTCCTTACTTTCACGAAACTGCAACGTTGAAGTTAGCACTCGACAAATGACGTCTGAAGCAAAATAGGTTCAATGATTTTAGTTGTTTGTGCGTGCCTTTTCATGTCAACTAATAATTGTGATACGTATTTTCATCGTTGAAGTGTATACACAAATCAGTATTTATTTTAATCTTAAGTTATTACTAAAACACTCTGAATAAATTTTATTTTAATATACCGCCTTTGTGATTTCCTCAAAAGTGAAAAGTAGGAATAATATTGTTAACTCCCTATATCTGACATAAAAATCTGTGCCCCAAAAACACTTGGGAAATCAAAAATTACGAAGTTGACAATACCTGTCAGTGTCACGACAGTTTAAAACCTAAGATCGTCAACCCCATGGGAGTCTTGTTATCACTTTATTAAACCAAGCAATCACCCATGCTGACATTCCTTTGCGTCCAGCAACCAGAGGAAACAACATGGACAAGTTCCTTCTCCTCATGTGGAAAAACTGGCGCCTTCAGTACCGCAAACCCGTCCAAACCGTAGTCGAAATCATAGCCCCGGTTCTCTTCTCCATACTCTTAGTCCTGCTACGAGGCGTCCTGGACCCTAAGGAATACCCCGACACAACATTCGAACCTTTTTGCGTGCTGCCGTTCCACTGTCCCATAGGCAACAATGGATCAGTACCCGACCCAAATTTCACCTTGACGGGGTTAGAAAAGATCGAGTTGGTGTATTCGCCGGCTACCAACACCGCTCTGAAGCGCTCCATGGTCGTACTAAAAGGGATCTTTGGGGACGTAATCGGGTACGACAACTCCCAACAACTGGAAGCCCATTTTGTTGTCACCAACGCCACGATGACGTTGGCGGGCATCCAGTTTGCCGATTCGCTGGCAAATCAGGACGTGCTTCCTGATAACTTGGAGGTGTCGATTAGGTAACCCACTGAGTAAACACAAAGGAAAAATTCAAGGATGGGTTTTAGATTCCCCAGCGAGCTGAGGAGCTCCAGTCAGAATAGTTGGCGTACTAATACTTTGTACCCAGTTTATCAACCTCCCGAGGAACCAAACAACCACACCGGAGCTATACCACGTAGGTTTGTTTCTTAGAGAGAGTTAATTTGCGTCCGATTTATCAAACCAACGAACTACTTGTCCCTTTGTATGAAAATTTGTAGGGTATTTTGACGAAGGATTTTTAATGCTGCAGATGGTTTTGACTTACGTGCTGGCAATAAGTGGATACTCAGAAGTAGCTACTTTCGAAGAACTGAGCGGCAAATTATTGAGTCTGCTCCTACCGATGATCCAGATGAAACGTTTTCCATATGCCAGCTGGATCAACGACGTTTTACTAAAAACCCTGGAATACTTTGTAGGGATGATCATCCTGTTGAGCTTCGTCTACACTTGCATCAACACTGTTCAAGTCATTACAACCGAAAAAGAAAAACAACTCAAAGTGCGTCCACTGGTTGTTACACCTAACGCTAAAGTCCAATTTCAGGAAGCTATGAAAATCATGGGTTTGCCAAACTGGTTGCACTGGACGGCGTGGTTCGTCAAATCTTTTGTTTTTCTTCTAATTTCGGTAGTCTTGATTGTCATGGTGCTGAAGATACCGTGGAACCCGGATACGGATTATAGCGTTTTTACCTACTCCGACCCCACGGTTATCTTGGTGTTCATGATGTTATACATGTGTGCTACGATTACTTTCTGTTTCGCCGTCAGTGTGTTCTTTTCGAAAGCAAACACGGCTGCTGCGGTTGCTGGTTTAATATGGTTTGTTTCGTACAGTCCGTATCTTTACGTAGCGCCATGGTACGACACGTTGACGATTTCCACCAAATTGTTGTTAAGTTTTGCATCCAACACAGCTATGGCGCTTGGATTCCAATTGATGGTGATGTATGAAGGCACCAATGAAGGTAAACGCTCCATTTTAGCACTATTCGTGTGTCAAAGGACCGTTTTAGGCATCCAGTGGTCAAACATTGCATCACCTATCACCTCTGACGACAGTTTAACCCTTCAACACATAATGATGATGTTGATCGTCGATACCTTCCTCTACCTCATTATCGCATTGTACGTAGAAGGCGTTTTCCCTGGCGAATACGGAGTTCCTCTACCTTGGAACTTCCCTTTTACTGCGTCGTATTGGCGTGGACGGTCCCGGTACAACCGTAACGAAAATTTTTCCACCACTTCTACCAACGAAGGTGAATTCTTCGAAAAGGACCCATCAAACCTCGCCCCTGGTATCCAAATCAAAAATCTACGAAAAGTGTTCGGTACTAAAGCGGCCGTCCGCAACCTCTCTCTAAACATGTACAACGATGAAATCACCGTTCTGCTGGGTCCCAATGGTGCTGGGAAAACCACAACCATGTCTATGCTCACTGGGATGTTACCTCCGACGAGTGGTACCGCGATTATCAACGGTCACGACATCACCACAGACATGAACGCAGTAAGAGCTAGTTTGGGTCTATGTCCACAACGCAACATCCTCTTCGACGACCTCACCGTCACAGAGCACTTGTACTTCTTCAGCAGACTGAAAGGACTGAAAAAGCAAGCTATTAATAAAGAAATTGACAAGTACGTGGAGTTGCTGGAACTACAACCAAAGGCGAACACCAAATCGTCGACGCTGTCCGGGGGCATGAAGAGGAAGTTGTGTGTGGGGATGGCGTTGTGTGGGAAGTCGAAGGTGGTGATGCTGGACGAACCCACAGCCGGGATGGACCCATCGGCTAGGAGAGCACTGTGGGATTTGTTACAGAAGCAAAAGCACGGGAGGACTATATTGTTAATGACGCACTTTATGGACGAAGCTGATCTTTTGGCTGACAGAATTGCTATAATGGCTGCTGGGGAGTTGCAATGTTGTGGGTCGAGTTTCTTCCTGAAGAAGAAATACGGCGCTGGGTACCACCTTATCTTGGACAAGTCTCCTTCGTGTCAGGTTGAAGAGGTTACGCGACTTTTGCAAAAACACATTCCCAATATACACGTACGTAGATCGATTGTGGTGTACACTAATAGCGATTCTGATTGTAGATCCATGGTAATGTAGGTTCCGAGCTCACGTATTTGCTGGCTGAAAACCAGTCGTCCGTTTTCGAAAAAATGTTGCAGGATTTGGAGCAACAAAGCGACAAGTTGGGTATTCGCAGCTATGGTATTTCACTGACAACGTTAGAAGAGGTCTTCATGAAGTAAGTCGTTGGTAACCACAAACCTGTTAGCCTGACGTACTAAATCTCTAGAGTAGGAGCAGATTTAGGTCAAGAAGAAAACTACAACTTAAGTCACCCGGAGGATGTACCTGACGCGAAACGGTTTTGGCACAGGATTAAATACAAACTCAAATCGTTCAAAAACGTGAAAATCCACTCAGAGAGTCAAGAAACTGCAAGTGATAACTTCAATCACGCTGTGTTGAATTCTAAATCTGAAACTATACTTTCAGTAACCATGGAAAATATCGTGCTTCTAACAGGCCTCCAACTAATCAAAAACCAGTTTCTGGCAATGTTAATGAAAAAAACCACGTGTGTTATTCGGACCTACGTTCTACAGTTCGTCCAAATACTAATACCTGTGGTTTTCCTCGTGATGACCATTACAGTTGTCAGAAATTCCAATAGGTTAGGGGACTTACCAAGTCTTCCTATTACGTTAGATACGTACGACAATCCCGTTACTCTAGTGGAAGAACTGGCGAGCAGTAACTACTCCCAAATGTACTTAGCCACACTACAGGGACATGAGGTTCAAATAGTCGACAATATCACCTCAACAATGCTAAAATTGGTACGTCAAAGGACCCAAAAGGTCAAAATTGACTCTTTGTTTCAGACGGAAACAATTCCTGCAACGGTTGGAAGGAGGTACATAGTTGGGGCTACGTTTGATGCTACGCATGAAGGCTTGATTACAGTTATTACAGCATGGTTCAACAATAATCCATTCCATTCTCCACCTTTGGCTCTAGGTCTTGTGCTCAACCTCATTTTTAAAGAAATAGTAGGTGACCAGAGTAGCATCAGCTTTGTGAATCATCCCCTACCATATACAACCGAATCAAAAGTAACTACTTCACACTCAACGAGAACAAATCCCAGTTGTTGATATTTTAGATTCAACGGTTACAGGGCGGTAGTGGTATGGGTTTACAGGTAGCGGTCAATATGGGATTCAGCATGGCATTCGTTTCTTCCTTCTATGTCTTATTCTACGTAAAAGAACGTGTTTGCAAATCAAAACATCTACAATTTGTGTCCGGCGTCAAAATTTTTATTTTTTGGATGGTGTCGTTTTTGTGTGACCTCGTTACATTCATAGTGACCATAATAGCAATCATCATCATCCTAATCTGTTTCCAGGAAGAGGGCTTCAGATCAGCAGACGAATTAGGCACTTGGTACTTTCTTCCATCTTTTTAAACTAAGTAGTCATGTTTTAGGACGATTGTTTCTTATTCTGTTTTATTTCGGCTGTTGTATGCTCCCTGTGATGTACCTGTCATCCTATTTCTTCGATTTTCCGTCGACCGGCTACACGAGAATGACCCTCTTCAATGTCTTCACAGGTACCTTCACTCACCAAAGATTCACCAAGTCATACGAATCTTACAGGTGTTGGGGCTTTTTTTGTGATTAATATTTTATTATTACCTGTGTTCAACCTGGAGTACATTGGGAACAACCTCCACTGGATTTTGCTGGCGTTTCCCCACTACTCCCTCGTTAGAGGAATCCGAGACTCTTTCATAACCTTCGCTACTAACAAAATGTGCAAATTCCTTGTCAAAACTTGCATAGAGCACACGCCTGGTATGACCGAAAATGCATGTTGGGATAGGGCATGTCACCAAAACCAAATAGAAGCCATCAAGGATAATTGCTGTGGTTAGTAGTTTCAAAAAATTTATTTCCAGTACTAACGCGTTTTCAGTACGCGAACCGGACTACTTCAAATGGGAAACCCCCGGAATAGGTCGCAACTTCACTTACTCGTTCCTCGTCGGTTTGCTTCTTTTTGTGACCCTCATTCTCATAGACTACAAGCCCTTTTCGAAAATCATCAACCAACCCGTGAAAACTTACCACAAAAAAGGTCCTGAAAAAGTACCCAATGAAGACCATGACGTCAAGGCAGAAAAAGACATGATTCACAACACACCAGATGCGCAGCTCCAAAAAGACTACGTTCTGGTCTTGAAGGACTTGACCAAGTACTACAAGAGACTTTTGGCTGTGAATGGGCTGTGTTTAGGGGTGAAACAGTTCGAGTGCTTCGGGTTACTAGGGCTCAACGGTGCTGGGAAAACCACAACTTTCAAAATGATAACTGGAGATGTTAAAACATCGTTCGGGGAGGCTTGGGTTAAAGGTTACAGCATCAAAACACAGGTCAAAGAAGTGCAGAAATTGATAGGGTACTGCCCACAGTTTGATGCTCTTCTTGACGATTTGACGGCGAAGGAGACGTTGACGATGTTTGCTTTACTGAGAGGGGTTCCATTGAAAGATTGCAAGTACCTTGCTGATAAGTTGGCCCGGGATTTTGATTTTCACCAACACTTGGATAAGAAAGTGAAGGAGTTGAGTGGTGGGAACAAGAGGAAGTTGAGTACTTTGATTGCGCTGGTTGGTGATCCTGCCGTGATTTATTTAGACGAACCGACGGCTGGGGTGGACCCTGCGACGAAACGGTACTTGTGGGATGCGCTCTGTAAAGTGAGGGATGAAGGGAAATGTGTGGTACTCACGTCGCATAGCATGGAAGAGTGCGAAGCTTTGTGTACCCGAATAGCCATAATGGTGAACGGCAATTTTAAATGTTTAGGGTCCACGCAGCATTTAAAGAATATGTTTGCGGAAGGGTGTACGTTAACTATTAAAATAAAGAAGTATCCTCGTGGTTTTGAAGATGACGCAGACACCACAGAAATAGAAGATTTTGTAGCGCGGAATTTCCCGAAAGCGAAGCAGAGGGAAAAACATCAGGAACTACTGACGTACTATATAGTAGATACAAGCATCCCGTGGTCCAGGATGTTTGGAATTTTAGAAGAAGGTAAAAAACAGTTAAATATAGAAGATTACTCGTTAGGACAATCAAGTTTAGAACAGGTACGTTTAAGAAGTGTTCACTGGCAGATGAACAGGTTATGTCTGTTTCAGATTTTCCTTACTTTCACGAAACTACAGCGGTGAAGTACTTACATAAACCAGTATTTAGTTTAATCTTAGGTTAAATAAATTTTATTTTAATACACCGTTTTTGTAACTTCTTCGATATTCCGTTTCCATGGCTCGAAATATCAGTGACACAAACATCTTAATATTGACAACGTCACTTGAAACTCCTTCCCAAAACACACCATGGGCCCCAAAATGAACAAGTTTCTCCTCCTCATGTGGAAAAACTGGAAGCTCCAGTATCGCAAGCCGCTTCAAACGACAGTAGAAATAGCCGCCCCCGTTCTTTTTTCAGTCTTACTGGTTGTGCTAAGGAGTTTAGTAGACCCTCTGGAGACGCCAGCACAAGAATACGAACCTTTCAGCCCCATACCTTCACTTTTTTTCCCGGAACAAAAAAAGAACACCACGGAAGCGGAAGGTACCGAGACCTACATGCTTGTGTATTCGCCTACGTCTAACAGAGTTCTGGATCAAGCCATGCGTGTGCTCAAAGGGGTCTTCGCGAATATTAAAGGCTACCCGAATTCCAAGCAACTGGAACACCACTTTCTTACAGAAAGCTCGAGGTACACGTTGGCTGGAATCCAGTTCGATGATGATTTGTTCAATAAGAACGAGCTCCCGAAGAAGGTGGAGGTTTCGTTGAGGTAAAATATTGACTTAAATTGTCAGTTTTCTAAGTGAATAGTAGATTCCCCAGCGAACTGCGAAGTCCAGGTGGTCAGGTTATGAAAACTAGAAACCGAGGAGACTTTCGTGACAGGAATATAACCAATGGTGACACTGTTGTAGGTAAGATAATCAAATTTAAAACGGGAAGGTACTTTAAAACCCGCGGTACTTCCAGAGAAGCTGAATAAACTATTCGATATTCGGGACTGGAGAACCAACTTACTCTACCCGATTTTCGAGTCTCCGGGTCCCAGACTGTGGGACCGAAACACCGGGGCCACACCTGGTAAACCACCACAACAAACCCACCATTGTATAAACCTTGCCTTGTAGACTACTACTGGGAAGGGTTTTTAGCGCTACAAATAGTAGTAACGCAGCTTCTACTATTCATTCAAATGGATAATATCCAGATGAAGTTTCCACCAGAACCAAAAATTTTGATGCCGGTATTGCGCATGCAACGATTTCCATTTGCCAGCTGGAAAGAGGATCCTCTACTTCCAGCTTTGATAAGCTTCGTTGGAATGCTCGTAATGCTGAGTTTCGTCTACACGTGCATCAACACCGTCAAGATCATCACGTCAGAGAAAGAAAAGCAGCTGAAGGTACCACCATAACTTCATGATCTTCTAATACGAGTTACGCTTTCAGGAAGCTATGAAAATCATGGGTTTGCCCAATTGGCTTCACTGGATGGCTTGGTTTTTCAAGTGTTTGTCGTTCCTTCTCATCACTATAACGTGTATATCGGTTTTGTTGACAATGTCGTGGTACCCTCACACTTCATATAGCGTTTTCACTTACGCCAACCCTTTGATACTGTTTTTGTTCCTATTCTTGTACATCTGTGCCACTATCACGTTCTGCTTTTCCGTAACCGTGTTTTTCTCCAAAGCGAACACAGCTGCCACTGTTGCCGGCTTGTTGTGGTTCCTCTCCTACGCCCCTTTTTTATTCCTACAACGAAAATACGACGAGCTGAATTTGTTCACGAAATTGATTGTTAGTTTGGGGTCGAACACCGCAATGGCGTACGGTCTTCAAGTTTTTCTAATGTATGAAAGTACCAGTGAAGGTAAACCTCATGGTCGTATTTTCCCCAACTAATAGTCAGTTTAGGGATTCAGTGGGACAACATATGGAAACCCGTCACTTCCGACGACACCCTCACCCTCGGGCTCATCATGGTCATGCTAGTCATCGACGCAATCATCTACCTGTTCATAGCTCTTTACGTCGAAGCTGTGTATCCCGGAGAGTTCGGAACACCACAACCTTGGTACTTCCCGTGCACCTACTCCTACTGGTGCGGCCGCCCCAAGCAAGTCTTCATCATGGAAAACGTGGGCAATCCACCCCCCAAACGCAACGAATTTTCCGAAAACGACCCATCGGACTTAAACCTCGGAATCCAAATCCAGCGGTTGCGCAAAGTCTTCGACAAAAAAGTGGCCGTTGACAATCTCTCGTTGAACATCTACGAAAACCAAATCACCGCTTTGTTGGGACACAACGGTGCCGGCAAAACCACAACCATGTCCATCCTGACCGGAATCATCCCGCCGACCCAAGGTACCGCGTTAATCCAAGGTTTCGACATACGCACCAACATGAAGCACGTGCGGGCCAATCTGGGTCTGTGTCCCCAGAACAACATCCTCTTCGACGACCTCACAGTCAAAGAACATTTGTATTTCTTTAGTAAATTGAAGGGTCTGCACACAAGCCAAATCAAAAAGGAGATCGAGAAATACGCAGAGTTGTTGGAGCTTGAGGCCAAAATTGACAAGAAGTCGAATACTTTGTCGGGCGGAATGAAGCGCAAGTTGTGCGTCGGAATAGCGCTATGTGGGGGCTCCAAAGTTGTTTTGCTTGACGAACCTACAGCCGGAATGGACCCTTCGTCTAGACGGACCTTATGGGATTTACTCCAGACGCAGAAAATCGGGCGATGTATTTTGATGACGACGCACTACATGGACGAGGCGGATATTCTAGGTGACAGGATTGCGATAATGGCCAATGGGGCTGTCAAGTGTTGCGGGTCGAGCTTCTTCCTCAAGAAAAAATTCGGGACGGGGTACCACTTAATTTTGGATACTTTGTCAAGTTGCGACTCGAATTGCGTCACGCAGCTGCTACAAAAGTACATTCCTGACATAAAAGTAACTTGATGTTGTTTTCAAATTCCAGTTGGGTGATTCCCGTGTTTTAGGTTTTTAGAAATATAGGGTCCGAGCTTGTTTACTTGTTGGGCGAAGACCAAGTGGCAGTTTTCGAAAGCATGCTCGACGACTTGGAGAAAAACACCGGAAGTTTGGGGATTCGCAGCTACGGCATCTCACTAGCGACCCTAGAAGATGTCTTCATGAAGTAATTAGTTGCCAAAAACTCACACGTGCTAATATCGCAAAGTTTTTAGAGTTGGTAGTGACCTCGAATCAGCGAACGTGGAGTCGGTGAAGGAAACTAAATCTAGAACGAAATCTACAAACCTGGCTTTCCAAAGAAGTCGTAAGTAGCTGATTCGGTGGAACAATTTGATTGTGTTTCATTTTCAAGTATTGTCCAAAAAAGTGCGACCTCTGACTGGATTGGCATTGATCAAAAACCAATTTCTGGCAATGTTCATGAAAAAATGTTTATCGGTTGCACGCACGCGGTTGCTGCAGTTGATCCAGGTCCTGATTCCGGTTACTTTTCTCATCGTCGCACTAGTTGTTAGTAGGAATATGGATAAGAACAAAACGAGCGACTTACCGAAATTGCCGCTTACGTTAGAATCGTACAACGATCCGGTGGTACTAATCCAAAGCAACTTCAACGATTTTTATAGTAGGTCGTACCTTGAGAGTGTGAAAGGTCACCAAGTGAAAAACGTCACGAGTATTACCCAAACCATGCTAGATTTGGTACGTTCTTGACCCTTGCGAGCTAAACTGATTGTTGTGTTACAGTCAAGCGCTATTCCATCGACTGTCAAAAGGCGGTACCTCGTTGGTGCCTCTTTCACCCAAAACGAAAGAAACGAGACCATTTTGACAGCATGGTTCAACAACAACCCCTACCATACACCTCCTCTAGCTCTGGGGCTCATGTTAGACTGTGTTTACAAAGGGGTACTAGGAAAAAACCACAGTCTCAGTTTTGCCAACTACCCGCTGCCTTTTACGACGGACACAAAGGTAAAAATTTTCCCTAAGACCACACTACAAAGCACGATTTTAGCTGCAGCGACTCTTGAAAGGAAGCGGAATGGGTTTCCAGTTAGCTTTCAATATTGCCTTCAGTATGGCATTTGTGTCTTCGTTCTATATTTTATTCAGCGTCCGCGAAAGAGTCTGTAAGTCCAAACACCTGCAGTTTGCCTCGGGTGTGGAGAGCTACATCTTCTGGACGACTTCGTTTCTTTGTGACTTGGTGACTTTCATTGTAACGATTTTGATACTTCTGCTGACACTGTTGTTGTTCCAAGAGGATGGTTATACGGGGACTAGAGAACTGGGTACGTCGCTTCTGCCAGCGATTTGAAACAAATTTAACTACGTTTTATAGGAAGAATGTTCATCCTATTGTTGTGCTTTGGCGTCGCGATGCTCCCGTTCATGTATATTGCGTCATATTTGTTCGACATTCCTTCAACGGGGTACACTCGGATGACGCTATTTAGCGTTTTTAGCGGTAAGTGGAAGCCGAGTTGGTACTACCGCTAACGATTTTGTAGGGGTTACTGCCTTCCTGGTGATACAAATCCTCTTCGCTCCGAGCCTGTTTCTAAAGTACCTGGCAGAAGCTCTTCACTGGGGGTTTCTTATAATGCCGCACTACTCCCTCGCTACCAGTATAAGAGACCTCTACGTCACCTACGCCACCACTAAAATGTGCAACTTCTTCGTCACTAATTGTTTAGAGAACGAAGAAGGTGCCACCTTAGATGATTGTTGGTACTCGGCTTGCGTTAACAACGTTTCCGAAGCACTGACGCAGTTTTGTTGCGGTAAGTACCCTCGAGTGGAGTCAAAAATTTTGACCGGATTTCAGAACGCGAGCAGAGCTACTTCAAATGGGTGAGTCCCGGAGTTGGTAAAAACGTCCTATATTCACTATCACTAGGAGTACTACTTTTGCTTTCCCTCATTGCGTCCGAGTACAAAATCTGGGCGAACTTGAAGTACCACGTTTTTCGCAACTACGGGAAAGAACCTCCCGACAAGGAAATCTACGAAGACGACGACGTAGCAGAAGAGAAGAAAAAAATACGCGGTACTACTGAAGCTCAATTGTTGAAAGAGTACAATCTGGTCTTGAAAGACATGACCAAGTACTACCGGAAGTTCCTAGCGGTGAACGCGATATGTCTTGGTGTGGGCCAGTACGAGTGTTTTGGTCTTTTGGGGGTCAACGGAGCTGGGAAAACCTCCACTTTCAAGATGATCACGGGTGATACTAGCATGACGTACGGAAATGCGTGGGTGCACCATTTCAATGTGAAGACCCAACTGACCAAAGTCCAGAGAGTCATTGGTTATTGTCCACAGTTTGACGCTCTTCTCACTGACCTCACAGCCAAAGAAACCGTGATTATGTTCGCTCTTTTGCGGGGGATTCCCCTCAGTGAGTGCAAGTACGTCGCAGAGAAACTAGCACAAGAGTTTGACTTCGTCCAACACTTGAACAAGAGAATCAGGAAACTGAGTGGGGGGAACAAAAGGAAGATTAGTACTGCTATATCGTTAGTAGGAGATCCTCCGGTTATTTGTCTTGATGAACCATCAGCAGGTACTACAATTTCTATGCACTTCTATCTATGTATTATAAAAAATTATATATGTGTTTCAGGGATGGACCCTGTGACAAAACGAAATCTCTGGAACGCCATCTGCGGGATTCGGGACAGCGGCAAGTGCATTCTTTTCACTTCACATAGCATGGAAGAGTGTGAGGCTCTGTGTACAAGACTGGCCATAATGGTGAACGGGGACTTCAAGTGTATCGGGTCTTTGCAGCACCTGAAGAACAAATTCGCGGCTGGTTATACCCTCACTGTTAAAGTCAAAAGGGGAAGCGAAGCTGGTGAGACGTTACAGGGTTTCGAAGACGTGGAAAAATTTATAGCGGAGCATTTCCCGGCTGCCAAGCAACAAGAGAAGCATCAGGAACTAATCACTTATTATATTAGTGATAAGAATATTAGTTTGTCGAAAATGTTCGGGGTTTTGGAAAATGCTAAAAGCAGACTGAACATTGAGGATTATGCGTTGGGGCAAGCGACTCTGGAACAGGTGGGTTGCGAATGTTTTGCGCTACATTACGTTGTATTGTGTTTTTTTTAGATATTTTTAACTTTGACTAAGCTTCAGCGTTGATGGTCCATCCTATGAACTATGATATGAAAATTTTGCTTAGTTAATAAATATGTGTAAGTTGTTGTTGTATTTCTCCCTTTTTTGATGAACTACAGCAAAAATAAAGGAAGATTCGTGATCCTGACAAAAGTTGGGTCCAGATAGATTGTTTTCTGGAGGATCTGAGTATCTTTTAAATTTTAGGTAAAAATGGTGGAGGCGCCAGAATAAAAATTCGTTTTTTGCATACTTGACGACGTTTAAGAAAAATAAAGGCAGATTCGTAGAACCCGAGAAAATTTCGGTCCAGACAGATCGTCGCCTGAGAACTTGTTTGATCTGCAGACCAGAGAGCGCTCAGGCCAATATCGACTCTAAGCGATTTATCAATAAGCCTTTCGTTAGATTTTTCAACTGTAGATGTGTCAATTTTTGTCCACTTCAATTTTACGATTTTTAAATATTTCGAATCTTTAATTTTTCCCAATTTTGACGTTTCTAAATTTTCAGTTTTCAGGTTTGTGAACTCATCTTTTTTTTATATTCGCATTTCTCGACTTCCCAAAGTTTCGATTTTTCAATTCTTTAATTTTTCGATTTTTCGGGTTTTTCGATTTTTCAGTTTTCAATTTTGACGTTGCCAAATATTCAGTTTTCCCATTTCGCAATTAATCTGTTTTTATTTTCCCATTTCTCGACTTGCCGAAGTTTCGATTTTTCAGTTCTCCAATTCTTCGATTTTTCGACTTTGCTTTTTAATTTTTCGATTTTTCTCTTTTCGATTTTTGGACTCCTGGGTTTTCTGATTTCTAGGTTTTTTACTTTTTGGGTTTTCAATTTTTCGTTAAACCTTAGATTTTTCGATTTTTCGACTGTTTTATACTTCGAATTTTTCAACTTGACGATTTTTCCAATTTTTCTTTTTTAAAATTTTTCGATTTGACTTTTACGATTTCTCGATTTATCACTTTTTCAATTTTCAACTTTTCTTCGCGGCTTTCCACTCCTCGATTTTTCGATCCTCTGATTTTTCGATTTTTCTGTCCAGTTTTTTTAACTTTTGGATGTTTCGATGTTTGAATTCCTCGGTTTTTCGATTTTTTTACTTTTGAGCTTTTCAATTTTTCGATGTTTAGATTTTTCAGTTATCCGATTTTTCAATTTTTTAAATTCGGGAGTTTCGATTTTTCGATTTGTCGATGTTTCATTTTTTCGATTTTTAAATTTTAAATTTTAGAATTTTTATTTTTTGATTCATTGATGTTTGGAAAAATTTGGATCCATTTTTCAATTTTACGATATTTTAATTGTTCAATGTTTAAAATTATGGATTTTTCAGTTCTTCAGTATTTCTATTTTTCAGTTTTTCAAATTTTACGTTGCTAAATATTCAGTTTTCCGATGTCTCAATTAATCTATTTTTGATTTTCCAATTTCTTGATTTCTCGAAGTCTCGATTTTTCAGTTCTTCAATTTTTCGATTTTTCGATTTCACAATTTTCCATTTTTTTAATTTCTCAATATGTATTTGGATATTTTTTTCAGTTTTGGAATTTTCCAATATTTTGATTGTCCGACCTTTCGATGTTTCGACTTCTGGAATTTTCGATTTTCGATTTTTTATTTTTTGGATTTTCAGTTTTTCGTTTTTTAAATTTTCTCGAGTTTTCAGTTCTTCTACATTTTAATTTTTCAATTTTTGGAATTTTTCAATTTTCGATTTTTCAATTTTTTTAGACCTGGATTTATCGAAATTCATATGTTTCAATGTTTTGAATGTTCAATCTATCACTTTTAAAAATTTTAACTTTTCGATTTTTTTATTTCGGCCTATTTCGGTTTCTCAATTTTTCGATTTTTTGACTTCTCGAATTTTTAATTTTTCGAATTGTCGGTTCTTAGATTTTTTACTTTCGGGCTTTTCGATTTTTAAATTAATTATCCGATTTTTCAATTTCTCAATTTTTTTAATTTTCGATTTTTAAATTTTAGATTTTGGAATTTTTATTTTTTTGATTTTTTGATCTTTGGATTTCACCATTTTTCAATTTTACGATATTTTAATTTTTAAATGTTTTAAATTTTAGATTTTTAGATTTTTCGGTTTTTCAGTTCTTCAATAATTTTTAATTTTTCAAATTTTGACGTTTTTCCCATTTCTCGACTTTCCGAAGTTTCGATTTTTAATGCAGTTCGTCAATTCTTCGATTTTTTGACTTTGTTTTTTAATTTTTCGATTTTATACTTTTCCAATTTTTTAAATTTTCAATGTTTTAGATATTTCTTTCAGTTTTGGGATTTTTCAATATTTCGATTGTTGCACTCCTGGGTTTTTTGATTTCTAGATTTTTTACTTTTTTTATTTTCAATTTTTGGACTCTTTTATACTTCGAATTTTTCAAATTTTCGATATTTTAACTTTTTTAGGTCTTTCGATTTCTTCGAGTTTTCAGTTTTTCAATTTTCAATTTTTACAATTTTTCTTTTTTAAAATTTTTCGATTTGACATTTTTTGCTTTCTAAATTTTTTACTTTTTGATTTTCAATTTTTCGACTCTTTTACACTTCGAATTTTTCAACTTTTCGATATTTTAACTTTTCTAGGTTTTTCGATTTCTCAAGTTTTCAGTTTTTCAATTTTTCTTTTTTAAAATTTTTGGATTTGACTATTTTGATTTCTCGATTTATCGAATTTTGATATCTTGATTGTTCAATTTCTCGATTTATCAGCTTTCCACTCCTCGATTTCTCGATCCTCTGATTTTTCGATTTTTCTCTCTCAGTTTTTTGAATTTTTGGATGTTTCGATTTTTGGATTTCTTGGTTTTTCGATTTTTTTACTTTTGGGCTTTTAAATTCCTCGATTTTCCAATTCTTCGATGTTTCGATTTTTCAGTTAACCGATTTTTCAATTTTTCAATATTTTAAATTCTGGAGTTTCGATTTCTCGATTTTTCACTTTTTCGATTTTTACATTTTAAATTTTAAAATTTTTATTTGTTGATTTTTTGATGTTCGGAAAAATTTGGATCCATTTTTCAATTTTGCGATATTTCAATTATTCAGTGTTTTAAATTTTAGATTTTTAGATTTTTCGGTTTCTGAGTTCTCAATACTTTTTAATTTTTCAAATTTTGACGTTTCTGAATTTTCAGTTTTCCGATTTCTCAGTTAATCTATTTTCTGATTTTCGCATTTGTCGACAGTTTTCAGTTCTTCAATTTTTCAAGTTTTTGATTTTTCAATTTTTTAAGTTTGCGATTTTTCGACTTTGCTTTTTTGACTTTTTGAATTCCCAATTTTTCAATTTTCCAATTTTTGGATATTTCGTCGAATTTTGTGATTTTTCAGTGTTTCGATTCTTCAATTTTTGTATTTTTCATTTTTTCCATAATTCAGTTTTGGGATTTTTTAATATTTCGACTTTTCGATGTTTCGACTTCTGGATTTTTCGAGTTTTCGATTTTTAATTTTTTGGAATTTCAAGTTTGCGTGTTGTAAATTTTAGATTTTTCAGGTTTTTGAGTTTTCAATTTTTCAATTTTTTAAAGTTGCGGTTTTTCAACTTAGCTTTTTTGACTTTTTGATTTCCCAATTTTTCAATTTTTTAATTTTCCAATTTTTGGATATTTCGTCCAATTTTGTGATTTTTCAGTTTTTCGATTCTTTAATTATTATTATTCTTCTTCTATTTTTCAATTTTTCCATATTTCAGTTTTGGGATTTTTTAATATTTCGACTTTTCGATTTCTTGATTTTTCACTTTTCCGATTATGTAATAAATTTTAAATTTAAAATTTTTATTTTTTGATTTTTTGATGTTTGGAAAAATTTGGATCCATTTTTCAATTTTGCGATATTTCAATTATTCAATGCTTTAAATTTTAGATTTTTAGATTTTTTGGTTTTTGAGTTCTTCAATATTTTTTAATTTTTCAAATTTTGACGTTTCTGAATTTTCAGTTTTCCGATTTCTCAGTTAATCTATTTTCTGAATTTCGCATTTGTCGACAGTTTTCATTTCTTCAATTTTTCAAGCTTTTGATTTTTCAATTTTTTAAGTTTGCGATTTTTCGACTTTTTGAATTCCCAATTTTTCAATTTTCCAATTTTTGGATATTTCGTCCAATTTTGTGATTTTTCAGTGTTTCGATTATTCAATCTTTCTATTTTTCAATTTTTCCATAATTCAATTTTGGGATTTTTTAATATCTCGACTTTTCGATGTTTCGACTTCTGGATTTTTCGAGTTTTCGATTTTTAATTTTTTGGATTTTCAATTTTGCGTTCTGTAAATTTTAGATTTTTCAGTTTTTCAGTTGTTTAATATTTAGATTTCTCAATTTTTCGATGCTTTACTTTTTCAATTTTTGAAATTTTAGATTTTTCAATTTCTCGAGTTTTCAGTTCTTCTATATTTTAATTTTTAAATTAACCTATTTTCTGATTTTCTCATTTCTCGACTTCTCAAGTTTCGAGTTTTCAGTTCTTCAATTTTTCAAGTTTTTGGTTTTTCAATTTTTTAAGTTTGCGATTTTTCGATTTTGCTTTTTCGACTTTGATTTCCCAATTTTTCAATTTTCCAATTTTTTGGATATTTCGTCCAATTTTGTGATTTTTCAGTGTTTCGATTCTTTAATTTGTCTTGTATTTTTCAATTTTTCCATAATTCAGTTTTGGGATTTTTTAATATCCCGACTTTTCAATGTTTCGACTTCGGGATTTTTCGAGTTTTCGATTTTTTATTTTTTGGATTTTCAGTTTTGCGTTTTGTAAATTTTAGATTTTTCAATTTCTCGAGTTTTCAGTTCTTCTATATTTTAATTTTTCAATTTTCTGAATTTTTTAATTTTCTTAGAGCTGGATTTTTCGAAATTCGGATGTTTCAACGTTTTGTTCAGTCTATCAATTTTTCTATTTTTAACTTTTCGATTTTTTTATTTCGGCCTATTTCGGTTTCTCGATCTTTTGATTTTTCGATGTGTCAGTTCTTCAATATTTTTTAATTTTTTAAATTTTGACGTTCCTGAATTTTCAGTTTTCCGATTTTTCAATTAATCTATTTTCTGATATTTCGTCCAATTTTGTGACTTTTCAGTTTTTCGATTCTGTAATTATTCTTCTATATTTCAATTTTTCCATATTTCAGTTTTGGGATTTTTTAATATTTCGACTTTATGATTTTTCGATTTCTCGACTTTTTACGGTTTGGATTTTCAATTTTTCGTTTTTTAAACTTTAGGTTTTTCAATTTTTCGATTTTTCAGTTATCCGGTTCAATTTACAAGTAAAGAATTAATTCTTAGTTAAACAAAAAATTGTACGTCAAAATCGAGTGAAACATGTGATGTGATATTGTGTTTGCAAACAAAAGCATCTAAATAATAACTATTTCCCTCAGAAATTCTAAACGCTTAGAGGCGACATTGGCTTGAGCGCGCTCCGGTTTGTGGGTCAAACAAGTTCTCAGGCGCCAGAATAAAAATTCATTTCTTCCTTATTTGACGAAATATAAGAAAAATAAAAACAGATTGACAAGATTTCGGTTCATTCAGATGCCTTTTCGTACAGAACTGAGGTTTAAAATTAAAAAAAAAAAATGAAGCGCCAGTACAAAAATTAATTTCTCATTTGTCGCCCTAGGGGAAAAATAAAGGCAGACTCTGAAAAAATGGTGAGAGTTGCCAATAAAAAAATTTACTTCTCCCTTACTTCATGATTCTTGGAATGGAGAAAATTTTGATTCACAGATGGCTACTATTATTTTAATTATTATTATAATAACTAGCCACCTACTTTATTTTAACGCCTTGAAAATGAAAAAATGTGTACTCTTCGCGTGAAACGTCAGTGGTGAAAATAAACGAACCATAAGCAATAAAAGACCAAAATACTTTGTGATATATTTAATTAACTAATAACAACCACTACATCCTAACTACGTAAAATTTGCCAACAATTCCTTAACAGCGCCATCGCAAGCCACAGCTTCCGGACTCGACCCGTCATTATCCAAAACATCCCGCCTTGCCCCGCTCTCCAGGAGCACCCTAACGGAATCCAAATGGCCACAACTCGAAGCATAATGTAAGGCAGTTTGTCCGTCACAATCCTGAAGATCCACATCAGCTCCACCCTCAATCAAAACCTTCAGAATATCAACGGACCCTCGATCCGCAGCCCAGTGAATCAAACCCAACCCGTCTTCATCGACTTCATTAATAATTTTTTTCCCATCTGGAGACCCCAAAATATTCGTGACTTGCTCGCGGTCCTCCTCTTTCACGTAATCGACCAGGGTTTTTTCCCCAGTGTGACGCGAGCTTGGGTCATCCTGCAACGTAGACACGGACACCCAGCTCTCCTTCGTGGGTGAAGCGGTGGCGAAATTCGGGTCCAGTTTTTTGATGGTTTCAATATAGATGGTTTTCGCTTCGTTCTGCAGCATGTCTCCCAGTTTGCTCCAGGCTTCCCATTTGGATTTGGCCTTCAGGTCGTACCAGCTGGGTTTCGGGGTGGTGCAGGGGCCGTGCGAACCCTGCTTGTAGTAGCCGTACAGAGTCAACAGAGTTTGATTGTCTAGGTTTGATAGCAAATTTTGTAAATGATTGGCTGCTTGGTTGAACGTTTCTGTTAAAGAATCGTCTTCACAGTCGATTCCGAGCTCTTTAAGATCATTAAAACTATCTATAGACGTTGCCATGATTTAGTTGGCGTTAGTAGACGGGAAAACTTTTAAGACGTTTCCTTCTAATTTGTGTGGCTCGGTTTGAATAGCTTTGTCAAACTCGTCTTTGTTGCGGTAAAACACGAAACCGTAATTTCGGGATAAGTCGGTGTCTTTGTCGAAAACCACGGTAGCGACGGCGACGTTGCCGAATTTGTTGAAGTAGGTTTTGAGTTCTTGGTGGCCGACGGTCCACGGAATGTTTCTGAATTTTGAGTTTCCCGATTTCTCAATTAATCTATTTTCTGATTTTCCCATTTCTTGACTTTCCAAAGTTTCGAATTTTCAGTTCTTCGATTTTTCGGGTTTTTGATTTTTCAAAAGTTTGTTATTTTTCGACTTTGCTTTTTTGACTTTTGGATTTCCCAATTTTTCAATTTTTTAATTTTTCCATACTTCAGTTTTGGGATTTTTTAATGTTTCGACTTTTCGAGTACTGGATTTTTCAATTTCTTGACTTTTTACCGTTTGGATTTTCAATTTTTCGTTTTTTAACTTTTTAATTTTTAGGTTTTTGGATTTCTCTAATTTTCAGTTCTTCTATATTTCAATTTTTCAATTTTCGCAATTTTTAAATTTCCGATTTTCTAATTTTTCGATGTTTCGATTTTTCAGTTATCCAATTGTTCAATTTACAATTAAAGAATTAATTGTTAGTTAAACAAAAAAATTGTATTACGTAAATAACTAAAAGCATCTAAATAATAACTATTTCCCTCAGAAATTCTAAATGCGGTCTGTGGATGAAACATTTTTCAGTTCTTCAGTTATTCAATATTTCGATTTTTAGACTCCTGGATTTCTTGATTTCTAGATTTTTTCAATTTTTCGTTAAACTTTAGATTTTTCAATTTTTCGACTGTTTTATACTTCGAATTTTTCAACTTTTCCGTATTTCAACTTTTCTAGGTTTTTCGATTTCTCGAGCTTTCAGTTCTTCTATATTTCAATGTGCCAATTTTCCGAATTTTTAAATTTTAGATTTTTCAAAATTTTTCGATTTGCCTTTTTTGATTTCTCTATTTATCGAATTCAGACGTTTCGATATTTTGATCGTTCAATTTCACAATTTATCAATTTTTGGATTTTTCTGTCTCAGTTTTTTGAATTTTTGGAATTTTCGATTTTTGAATTTCTCGGTTTTTCGATTTTTTTACTTTTGGGCTTTTCAATTTTTCGATGTTTCGATTTTTCAGTTATCCGATTTTTCAATTTTTTAAATTCTGGAGTTTCGATTTCTCGATTTGTCGATTTTTCACTTTTTGTATTTTTAAATTGTATAATTTTTATTTTTTGATTTTTTGATGTTTGGAAAAATTCGGATCCATTTTTCAATTTTGTGATATTTTGTTTTAATTGTTCAATGTTTTAAATTTTAGATTTTTCGATTTCTCGATTTTTTTATTTTTCAGTTCTTCAGTATTTCTATTTTTCAGTTTTTCAAATTTTGATGTTGCTAAATATTCAGTTTTCCGATTTCTAAATTAATCTATTTTTGATTCTCCAATTTCTCGACTTCTCGAAGTTTCGATTTATCAGTTCTTCGATTCTTCGATTTTTCGACTTTGCTTTTTTGGTTTTTCGATTTCAAAATTTTCCAATTTTTTAATTTCTCAATATTTGGATATTTCTTGCAGTTTTAGTATTTTCCAATATTTTGACTGTCCGACTTTTCAATGGATTTTTCTAGTCTTCGATTTTTATTTTTTTGGATTTTCAATTTTTCCTTTTTTAAATTGTATATTTTTCAATTTTCGATTTTTCAAATTTTTCAAATCTGGATTTATCGAGATTCGGATATTTCAATGTTTTGATTGTTCAATCTCTTAATTTACCAATTTTTCCATTTTTAACTTTTCAATTTATTTGATTTCGGCCTAATTCGGTTTCTGTTTTTCGATTTTTCGACTTTTCGACTTTTCGACTCCTCGATTTCTCGATCTTTTGATTTTTCGATTTCTCGATGTCTCAGTTTATGAATTTTTCGATGTTTCGATTTTGCGATTTGCCGGTTTTTCGATTTTTTACTTTGCAACTTTTCGATTTTTAAATTATTGTTTTGTGATTTTTCAGGTTTTCGACTTTTTAATTATTCTTCTATTTCTCAACTTTTCCATATTGCAGTTTTGGGATTTTTTAATATATATTTCGATTTACAATTTTTCGAATTCTGGATTTTTCGATTTTCCGACTTTTCAGTTCTATATTACAATTTTTCAATTTTCGATTTTTCAATTTTTTCAGATCTGGATTTATAGAGATTCGGATGTTTCAATGTTTTGATTGTTCAATCTATCAATTTTTCCATTATTAACTTCTCGATTTTTTTATTTCAGCCTATTTCGGTTTCTCAGTTTTTCGATTTTTCGATGTCTGTTTTTGAATTTTTCGATGCTTCGATTTTCGATTTGTCGGTTTTTCAATTTTTTAGCTTCCGGTTTTTCGATTTTTAAATAAATTATCCGATTTTTCTTATTTCATTTTTTTCAATTTTATTTATTTTCGATTTTTAAATTTTACATTTTCGAATTTTAATTTTTTTGATTTTTTGATCTCTGGATTTCTCCATTTTTCAATTTTACGATATTTTAATATTTCAATTTTCCAATTTTTGGATATTTCATCCAATTTTGTGATTTTTCAGTTTTTCGATTCTTTAATTATTATTATTCTTCTATTTTTCAATTTTTCCATATTTCAGTTGTGGGATTTTTTAATATTTCGACTTTTCGATTTCTCGATTTTTCACTTTTCCGATTAATAAATTTTAAATTTTATAATATTTATTTTTTGATTTTTTGATGTTTGGAAAAATTTTGATCCATTTTTCAATTTTGCGATATTTTAATTATTCAATATTTTTTAATTTTTCAAATTTTGACGTTTCTGAATTTTCAGTTTTCCGATTTCTCAGTTAATCTATTTTCTGATTTTCGCATTTGTCGACAGTTTTCAGCTCTTCAATTTTTCAAGCTTTTGATTTTTCAATTTTTTAAGTTTGCGATTTTTCGTCTTTTTGAATTCCCAATTTTTCAATTTTCCAATTTTTGGATATTTCGTCCAATTTTGTGATTTTTCAGTGTTTCGATTATTCAATCGTTTTATTTTTCAATTTTTCCATAATTCAGTTTTGGGATTTTTTAATATTTCGACTTTTCGATGTTTCGACTTCTGGATTTTTAGAGTTTTCGATTTTTTATTTTTTGGATTTTCAATTTTGCGTTTTATAAATTTTAGATTTTTCAGTTTTTCAGTTGTTTTATATTTAGATTTCTCAATTTTTCTATGCTTTACTTTTTCAATTTTTGAAATTTTGGATTTTTCAATTTCTCGTGTTTTCAGTTCTTCTGTATTTTAATTTTTCAATTTTCTGAATTTTTCAATTTTTTTAGAGCTGGATTTTTCGAAATTAGGACGTTTCAATGTTTTGATTGTTCAGTCTATCAATTTTTCCATTTCTAACTTTTCGATTTTTTTATTTCGGCCTATTTCGGTCTCACGATCTTTTGATTTTTCGATGTCTCAGTTCTTCAATATTTTTAAATTTTTCAAATTTTGACGTTTCTGAATTTTCAGTTTTCCGATTTCTCAATTAATCTATTTTCTGATTTTCCCATTTCTCGACTTTCCAAAGTTTCGGGTTTTCAATTCTTCAATTTTTCGATATTTCAGGTTTTTGAGTTTTCAATTTTTTAAGTTTGCGATTTTTCAACTTCGCTTTTTTGACAAAGAAAATTTAGTTCTCAATTCAAATCGTTTGAAGAGGGTACAAACAAGCACAAGATACTTCGCTGTGAAATTTTTTAATGTGTTACCCGAAGAATTTCGTAGTAAGCCTATTAGTATATGTATTTAAAAAAAAAAACTCAAAACTTTTCTTATTATGAATTGTTTTTATAGTTTTGAGGATTATCTTCGGTGTAGAAATTTTAATAGTTTATTGATTTAATTTAATGTGTTTGACTTGTGTAAAACTGTATTTGTAGTTTTGAACACCAATAAAGTATTGATTATTGATTATTATTGATTGACTTTTTGATTTCCCAATTTTTCAACTTTTTAATTTTTCAATTTTTGGATATTTCGTTCAATTGTGTGATTTTTCAGTTTTTCGATTCTTTAATCATTATTATTCTTCTATTTTTCACTTTTTCCATATTTCAGTTGTGGAATTTTTTAATATTTCGACTTTTCGATTTCTCGATTTTTCACTTTTTCGATTAATAAATTTTAAATTTTATAATTTTTATTTTTTGATTTTTTGATGTTTGGAAAAATTTGGATGCATTTTTCAATTTTGCGATATTTTAATTATTCAATGTTTTAAATTTTAGGTTTTTAGATTTTTCCGTTTTTGAGTTCTTCAATATTTTTTAATTTTTCAAATTTTGACGTTTCTGAATTTTCAGTTTTCCGATTTCTCAGTTAATGTATTTTCTCATTTTCGCATTTGTCGACAGTTTTCAGTTCTTCAATTTTTCAAGCTTTTGATTTTTCAATTTTTTAAGTTTGCGATTTTTCGACTTATATATTTCGGTTTCTCGATCTTTTGATTTTTCGATGTGTCAGTTCTTCAATATTTTTTAATTTTTTAAATTTTGACGTTCCTGAATTTTCAGTTTTCCGATTTTTCAATTAATCTATTTTCTGATATTTCGTCCAATTTTGTGACTTTTCAGTTTTTCGATTCTTTAATTATTCTTCTATATTTCAATTTTTCCATATTTCAGTTTTGGGATTTTTTAATATTTCGACTTTACGATTTTTCGATTTCTCGACTTTTTACTGTTTGGATTTTCAAGTTCTCGTTTTTTAAACTTTAGGTTTTTCAATTCGGTTCAATTTACAACTAAAGAATTAATTCTTAGTTAAACAAAAAATTGTTGTACGTCAAAATCGAGTGAAACATGTGATGTGATATTGTGTTTGTGAACAAAAGCATCTAAATAATAACTATTTCCCTCAGAATTTCTAAACACTTAGAGTCGACATTGGCTTGAGCGCGCTCCGGTCTGTGAGTCAAACAAGTTCTCAGGCGCCAGGATAAAAATTCATTTCTTCCTTATTTGACG